TGGGGCTGGAGAGATGGCTCAGTGGTTAAGAGCACTGACTGCTCTTCCAGAGGTCCTGAGTTCAATTCCCAGCAACCACATGGTGGCTCACAACCATCCATAATGGGATCCGATGCCCTCTTCTGGTGTGTCTGAAGACAGCAACAGTGTACTCATACACATAAAATAAATAAATCTTTAAAAAAGAAGAGTGTCTAAATCCTATACGATGGCCCAGCATGGCTCCCACACCTCATGTCATACAGGCTATGCCAAAACAGCATCAAGAATTAGGCAGACAACAGACGAGCTGGAGAGGTGGGGTATGCATTCACTACTCCTTTAATCCTAGCACTCTGGAGGCACAGACAGAGTGAGCTTTCTGAGTCTGAAGCTAGCCTGATCTACACAGTGAGTTCTAGGACAGCCAGGACAACATTTTAAGACCTTGTCTCAAAAAAGTAAACAAAGATCAGAGGGATGAACAGAGGCTCAATTTCCTTTGAGATCAAAGAGATTGCAAGAAAAACCTTGTCATAAAAGGCTAATTGCTTAAGTTGTGATTGCTTTACACAACAATTTAAAGAAATGCTATGAATGACTTGCTGGTTGAAGATTCTTCATCCACATAGTGGTTTTGTTAGTGTTATTGTGGTGGCTTGAATAGGTTTGGTTGCCACAGACTCATGTGTTTGAATGCTTGGCCATAGGGAGTGGCACTGTGAGGAGGTGTGGCCCTGTGGGGGTGGGCTTTGAGGTCTCGTATGTTCAAGCTACACTCAGTGTTGCTCTTACGGAGAACTAACTCTTCAGCTTCTTCTCCAGCACCGTGCCTGCCTGCAAGGTCCCACGCTTCCCACCCTGATGACAATGAACTAAAAATGTGAGCTGTAAGCCAGTTTCAATTAAATGATTTCCTTTATGAGCTGTCATGGTCATGGTGTCTCTTCACAGCAATAAAACCCTGATGAAAACAGTCATACTGGGTTGGGTGTTTGTGGATTAGGGACAGTGTCTGCGAACTTCCAAAATCTGAAGCACATGTCGTTCTGAGTACATCGGCTAAGGGACACTCAACACAAGCCCACACCTTGTCAGCCTTCCCACAGGCTAAGCCTGGCATCTTCTGATCCACACCTAGATCACGCCTACACACCAGATGATGCCTCTACAGAGCCTGGAGACCTGGCCACAGAAGGCAGGGGTGGGTAACAGCTCTCCTTACCTCCACTCTTGAGGAGGTAGCGGTTGACATCCTGGATGGTGGTGTTGATGGTAGGTCCTGTAGGGACACTGCCAGGAGTGACATCAGGATCATTCTCAGGATCAATATTCTGAAGTCCTTTCCATGGAACTCCAGGATGGAATTCTGTTCATGGAAACCAAAATGGGGCTGCATACTAGAGCACCTTCACATTGCATCATGACACTTATAATTCATTTTTCCATATTTGTAGACATTTCTAAAATCTGATAACTAGGCTCAGAGGCACTCCTTGCTTACACACAGTTCATTCTTTTGGAACACACCAGGCCCAGCAACAACATTTCAGATGTGAATGCCTCTTCCAGGTGCGAGCTGGCGGTCCTTCCCCACTGGCCCTGCCACTGGCCTTCTCTTTCCTTCAACTGGGAAGCTACAGAATAATGCTTGACACCACCACACCCCATGCAGTCTTAATGGAAACCCCACACTATAGACTTGCTGTCTGCAGGAGCTCAGTGCAGACCCGGGCTCACTCAGCTCATGCTCTCCTAGGCTTGGAGCACACTTGAATCTCCTGTTGCCTGTAAGTGTCATGCAGGCTTACCTGGGGGCCAGCTGATGCTGGAGCCATTGGAGATTTTATCACTGTCAGATTTGGCACGTGACCAGCTATGGGGAACAGCTACGGGAGGACTGGCTGGTGACTCACTGTTCTGAATTAAATCGTACCGGCCGTAAGAGTCATCAATGGAGGACTTACCTGGAGGCCCAATGCTTAGACCTCCAGGGATAGCACCTGCAGAACACAGGAAGCAGGAACAGAGTAAATCCTCTACCAAAGACATCCAGGAATACAGTACAACCTTCCCTTCTAGGTCCAGGATCTCACCCCTCAGAGCCTAGGGTTCTCTAAGAATTGTGTCAGTTAGCCCAAACATGATCTTCAGATGACTATTCTTTTGACTATTCAAACGCAGAAAGATCCACCTCCCTCTGCCCCTTGAGCATTGGGATCCCAGGAGTGTGCCACCTCCACCTGGCTGTTAGCATCATCATTATTTTTACTTTCAGTGCTGTGAGTCAAATTTACGGCTTTGTGCATGCTACATTGGCACTCTATGGTTTCTGAGATGGTATCATATAGTCTGGACTGGCCTTGGACTTCATATATAGCTAAGAATAACCCTAAACTCCTGACCTCCCAACCTACACCTCTGCAAACGCTGAAATGATAGATGTGTGCCACTACAAACTATTTTAGGGTGTCAAGTTGGAAGGCTTCTTTCTTTTTGAGATAGGTAGGGTCTGCTATACCTTACTTGCTGTAGATTTAAAGATGCCCTTGAATTCCTGGATCTTCCTGGTTCTACCCGTCTATGCTGAGATTACAGGAATGTACCACCAAGCCTACTTTGCTGGTGTAGCCCATGCTTCCTGCCTCCCAGGCAAGCACTCTAACAACTGAGCTAATGCCGCTGGCCAGACTTAAACATTTTGGTTTGTGTATGTGCCCACGTGCATGGAGGACAGGCCACCAGCTGTCCTTCTTATCACGGTCCTCGTCTTCTGGAGACAGGGTGTCTGACTGAACCTGGAGCTTGGCTAGAGCCAGCAATCCCCAGTGATCTTGCCATCTGCTCCTAGACATACTGAGTATGTCACAGGCATTTGTGACCATACTGGATTTTATATCTCTTCTGAGGATTTGAATTTGGGTTCGCATGCTTGTGCAGCTGAGTGCTCTGATCTGTTGAGCCATCTCCCCACTGACACCCTCCCTGACCTTTTTTATTTTTAAAACTTTAATCTTTTACTGTATGATTGTTGCCTGTATGTATGTCTATTCGACATTGTGTGTGCCTGGTCCCTGTGGAGGTCAGAAGAGGGGATCAGATCCCCTAAAACAGGAGTTCCAGGCAATTGTACTCTACTATTTAGGTGCTGGGAATCAAGCCTAGTTCCTCTGCAAGAGCAGCCAGTGGTCTTAACCTCCGAGTCATCTCTTCAGCTCCCTCCCCACCTTTTTAAAGTAGACTTAATCAAGTTTGGAACACTTGGGCTCAAGTGACCCTACTATCTTGGCCTCTTAAGCAGCTAAATTCATGTCATGTACCCAGCAGTCCTGGCTGTCCTGGAACTCACTCTGTAGACCCGCTGGCCTAAGATGCAGAGATCTGCTGCCTTTAGCTCTAAGAGCTCGGGTTAAAGGTATGCATCATAGTACCATTTGTACTCTGGCTATAAACATAGATTCTTGAACTATCATTGACTGAGTTATATCCCTAGTCACATTGTAAATCTATTTAAGAAAAAATATTTTTTGGGACAGGTCTCATGTAACACAGGCTGGCCTCCAACTTGTAAGTAGCCAAGAATGACCTTGAACTCCTAGTCTTCTTACCTCTACCTCATAACTGCTGGGATTACAGATCATTCCCCAATCGCCTGAAGTGGGAATCTTTGCATACTCATCCTGAGTCTCGTGGTTAGTGGCTGCGTTTGCTGGTGTCTCCATGCCCCCTTCTGCAGTGGAGCCCTTACTACGCAAGAGCAAAGGGCACTGGTTTATACAGAAAAACCAGCACTGCAAAGGGACCACACAGCACATGGAGAGTTTCTTGCTAGATTATCCATTAGGGGAATTTTCTTTTAGATGACGTTATGTGAAGAGAAAACTATATGCCCTATTACATTTCTTTTGTTCCATTCTGGTTCTGGGGATAGAACTCAGGACCTCACACGTGTGAGACTAGTGCCCTACCATTGAATGGAGGCCACTGGAGGCCAGGTTAGTGGCCTGTCTCTGAGCCATATCCTAGCCCACTGCAGGCCAATATGATGATTAGCAGTTTTGTTTCTTTCTCCTTTCTATATGATACTTTTTGTGACTTATTTTTTTGAAAGGTGATTCTTTGCAATATTCTTTTTTTTTTTTGACATGAAGAAAATTTTTTAAATTTCTCAATTATATATTTGCATATCCATGTGTGGGTACATACATGTGAGTATAGGTACCCATAGAGGCCATGGAACTTCTGTTGGAAGCAGCTGTAAAGCACCCGGTATGGGTGACAGAACTCAACTCAGGTCTTCTGCAAGAGCAGTACCTGCTCTTATCTGCTGAGCCAGCTCTCGAGGCTTCAGTAGGTTCTTTTTGTTGGCAGAAAAAAGGAATTAACTCAAGAGCATTGGGCTCTTTGGTGTTCTGGGGCATTTTCAATGATCGTGGGTTTGGAGCTAAGATCTGATGGTTAGCTTGGAGGGATTGCACAATGGCAGACTCCTTTTCTTCTGTTTTTGGAATTGCATTCATAGAAATGCACAGAAAGAAAAGTGCTATTTCAGGCTACCCTGTCAATAAGTGAAGTACAAGCTTTTGTGGGTGGGCATTGACAAGGGCACACTTACCATGCTTGCTAGGATTCTGGTCCAGGGGAGAAGCAGCACTAGACAAGTTACCCATGGAGTTGGGATGTGTCCACTGAGGCAGGCGTGACTGGGACTGAGATGGGTCCTTCACAGACAAACCACTGCTCATGTCTATGCTGCTGACATTCATGTTAGGGTTCAATCCAGCTGAAAACACAGGCACCATTAGCATCTGCTCTTCCCTGAAAGATTCCACTATGAAAGCCCTCTCGGAGATTTAGCTTCCAAAAGTTTTGCTTTTTATTTTGAGACAAGGTCTCACTCAGTATGTCACCCCTAACTGGCCTGGAATTCACTATGTAGTCCAAGAAATTCAGTGTGGGATGCTGGCGGAGACTACAAACTGCTCAGGATATTCAAATTGCTGACTTCATATGAGACTGACAGGAACATTTTACACAACTTTGAACTCAAAAATACTCCTAAGACTGCAAAATACAACCAAGCTGGACATTGTGGAAAGTTTGGCAGAAATAGCTTCATTATTATAAATAGTTTTACTGTGTTAAGATTTAAAACCCCTTTTTTTATTTAGACAAAAGGGGGAAATGTTGCAGGATATTTGATCACAGTGTGAACCCTGGATTGTGTTGTTTACTGGAACTTGTTTCTAGTTGTTTCTAGCTGTGGTGTGGCTCAGCCTTAGCAGACACCTTTAATCTAAGAGCTTTCTGCCTGAATACTGTAAATGGGATTAAATAAAATCAACCAGCACCTGGCTCCTGAGTAGTCATTGGTAACGCTGAATGACTGAGATTTTGTTCACCAACACCACCACCCTCCAACAGCGAGTCCTGCGTGGCCACTGGACACCACTGTAATCCATTCCATAATTCAAATGTTACGGCAGAGGGAACCCTACCACTCAAGTAGAGTCAAACATTTTAGTTCTAAATTTTAGAGCAGGGGCCAAACATTCGAACATTCATGGGAGTATGTGGGTGAGCAATGCAGACCAAGGGCAAGGAAGCCAGTGGGCCTATGAGCCTGTCCTATGGCAAACAAAACAGGTTCTGCTCTGCCAGAAGCAGGCTCTGTGCAGCCAGTTGCTGCTTTTCCTTTCTGTTCTGCTTCTGAGACAAAGTCTCTCTGTGTGCATTACATAAAGCAGCCTGGAACTCATCACCCTGGAACTCACAGAGCTCTGTCTGCCTCTTCCTCCCAAGCACTGGGATTAAAGACATATGCCATGACACTGGGCATGCATCCTGCTTTTGCTCAACATTTGAAGTATTTATACATAGGCACACACTTGTGAGTAGAACAGCTGTGTAAATCTGCCCAGGGGCTGCCTCCTCAATAGCCTCTGCTTTCCAGCCTTTATTTTCTCATACAGATCTACCAGGTAAGGCAGCAACAGGGCTGGATGTCAGAGCAACTCAAGGTGCTCTGTGGGACCACCTTGAACACACCAGGGCTTCTCTCTGCTGGACCCTATAAGCTGGAAAGGTGTCCTCATTACTCACTGAACTCTTACCTATTTGGGCCTCGAGTCTAAATTTTAATCTTATATATTTTTATTTTTTTGTTTTGAGAGTGAGTCTTGGTACACAATCTGGTTGGTCTGGTATTTGCTATATAGCCCAGGCTAATCTTGTACTGGCAACAATCCTCCTGCATCCACTCCTTTATGCTGAGATCACAGGTTTATTTAACTTTTTAGCCTATCATGGTGGGGGAAACAAACCTTTCATTCTGGAGATCTTTTGTCTGTTTGTTTGTTTGCTTGCTTTTCAACATAGGGTAGCCCTGGCTGTTCCCAAACTCACAGAGATCCACCCACCTCTGCCTCCTAAGTGCTGGGATTAAAGGTGTGTGCCACCATTACCTGGCTTCATGTAACTTTTAGGCTTCTCTATAGTCTTCAGCTTCGTTATAAGGGCAGAATACATTTATTACATATCAAGTAGGAAGACAAGATACACCATTCTCTGTAAAATATGTATTAACATTCTAAGGCCTTTGCTGTCTTGGAGATGTGTATTTGAAGCTATTTATTCCTCAATCAACAGCTCACGTCCACAGATTCTGGCAGGTATCAGCACACAGCCCTAGAATGCTTCTCCTAGTTCCTGGTGACATTTCTCCCTAGCTGGTACCATAGAGTTTCCAGCATCAAGCTTGTTCTGACAGATTGGGTTCTGTGTGCTGGGCAGTTAGCACACACTTGTACTATAGGAGTGTAGGCCAGCCGGAAACCGTATGGAGGGTCTATATTACAAGTGGGAGGATTCATCCTGACCAGATGAGACCAATCCCCCGCTACAGCTGAGGCTGGAGGACAGAAGCTAGACAAGAAGAGTAGAGACCTGTAGTTTTAGTACTTGAGAGAAAAAGGCAGGAGAATTGGTGAGAGTTTTAGTTAGCCTGGGCTATAGTTTGTGGTGTCTCACCAAGCCACACCTCCCAAAAAAAAACACCCCACAAAAATCAAAACAGTAAAGATGGTAAACCAGAATAAATGCTGCACCAGAGGGTTTCCATAAGCACTACTCCAAGTAGGCCCTGTTACATAGTCCAAGCTACTCTCCACTCCTAACTGTCCCACGTCCGCCTGCCAAGTGCCTGAGTTACAGGTGAGAGCCACGGGGTGACAGCCACAGTGGGGGCTTCCCACTAATCATTTGGGGTGCTAGGGAAACTTATGCTATGCTGAAGGCAGTGTTGCTCCCTCAAGAAAAAGCCTCGAGAGGCCCACTCTGCCTCTGCCGAGCTGTTTCGTGCTGTACCTTCCACCTACTGCACAGCTTCGTGGTAGGCACAGGAAGGACTCCTCTACCTGGTGTACCTCTGAAGTTCACAAAGACTCACCAAGAGGATAAGGAGCAAAGGTGTTGGGTGAAGACTGCTGCTCTTTGGTCTGCAGGTCGGGAAGGCCAGGAGCCTGGGGGTGAGGGGGGAAGCTATCCATGCCCGATTTGCCTGCAGAGGGGTGCAGAGACAGGTGCGGCGGGGGTGGCGGAGGTGGAGGCTGCTTTACAAGCAGGGCCTGGGCCAGCTGGCGCTGGTGCTGCTGGATCTGCTGCTGCAGATTAGTGATTGTGCGCGCAACCTGGCAGGTGGAAACACACAAATATACCCGCGCATGTTAGGCAGGGTTGAGGCAGAGCACATAGCCCATCTACAGACCGAGTATATTCATTTCTCAGCCTCCACCAGCTGGGCTAGCCTTGTACCAAACCTAGCCTTGGGACTTTCCAAATAGGGAATTCAGCCAGAGAAAAGTCAACACCAAGCTAAGGGTTGATCCACTGGGGTTTCTTCTATTAGAATTAGAGCTAATGGCAAAGGCCAGTCTAAGGGACACTTACTTGCTGCTCCTGTTGCCTCATGGGTCCAGAAACATTCCGCTGGGCCTGTAACATCTGCTGCTGGATTTGTAAACGTTGGTATGCCTATTGATAGAAAAGTTGAAATACCGTCAGAAAGCTGTCAAAATAAGTGGTTCAATCTTCTTTACATTCAGAAAATAGAAAAAATATTTTAGAATGATCTAGATTAAAGGCTAGACTGGCTAGACAATGTGGCAGAACACTGTAATGCTCTATACAATAAACACATGAACCAGACCTGATGCATGTGGAGGACCAGCTCTTGGAGGACCAGCTCCTGGGCAAACTGTGAAGTGAGTACAATGCTCTGTGTACAAAGTCTTTTAATTTGATTATTTCAAAATGTTGGCTGAATAGTTAATTTTAATTAACTATTTAATTAATTTTCTGTACAACACATATTTTGGGAGACTTCTTGGCTGGAGGACTCCTGTAGTTACTTCCGAATGAAAACAACCTTGTATTCAAAACCCCTCCCTCAGTGAGGTCAGATGAGCAGTAAACAGTTGCTGTGAAGAGAGTACCATGTGTGGTGGCCTGACAGTTTTTCAGGGAGCTCAGGATGGAGCTCATGAGCTGCCATCCATGCTGAGGTAGACCCATCTCCTGTAAGTAACTCAAATAAACTCACTAGACACCAATCAAGACTCAAGCAGAACTGTTTCTTCTGCTTGTTGTTGGTACCCATTTGACCCTATACAGAAGACTTAGACAGAACCAGACAGAGTTGCACTACGCTGTTAAAACCCCTCAGGAGTTGTAAATAGAGTGTCCACTTAAGGATTCTCTACAACTGTTAAATGTTCTGCAGCAATTTCTCTATTTTCCTGGAAGAAAAGTTTATGAGCAGAACACACTAGGTACAAGCCAGCCGCTCTCTCCATTCACAGCACGAGGAAAGCCTGCTGGAGAACATACTGTGTCAGCTCCTCCCTCTCTGAGCTCTGGCCTGTGACAGTGCAGCAGGCTCTGCAGGATCACCCAGACAGAGGCTGGGCAGCTTCCAATACCCTTCCTGCCCTGGGTGAACTTGTCCCCAGCTACTGACATCAGTCCAGGAAGCAACATGGCTTCCTGAGTGTCCATGTCAGAAAGGCCTCCCTGCAGGTGACAGGCACAGGACTCCCTAGTTAGGAATCTAGAAACAGCTTGATGGGGAGGCCACATGCTGCCTGAGTCCAGAGGTCTGTGCTCTCGAGGACAGCAAGGACACACATGTCTCTGGGATACTTGCCTTGTCCTGCTCCCCTGCTACCTAAGGAAATGTCAAAGCCTTGTATTTCCTAGACATGTGGCTAAAAAAGTGAATGACTTGGGGCTGTCTGCTTTCAGAAGCAAAGCTCTTCTGTTAGCCTTCTGTCCCCTGTCCCCTGTCTGGCCTTCCTCATTTGCTTTGCTTCCTTTAAGACTCATTTTCCAGGCAATGAAGTTCTAAGGTAAGACTTCTAAGTAGATCAGGAGGCTGATACTGGAGAAGAATTGAGCACATCTGGTGTCCTAGTAGAGATAAATTCACACTGTGGCCAAGAAAACAATGATGGCCATTTAATAGTAAAAACAAGAAGACTACTTAAAATTAAGAATTCATGTATGCTGCCAGGCAGTGGTGGCGCACACCTTTAATCCTAGCACTTGGGAGGCAGAGGCAGGTGGATTTCTGAATTCGAGGCCAGCCTGGTCTACAGAGTGAGTTCCAGGACAGCCAGGACTACACAGAGAAACCCTGTCTCAACCCCCCCCACTCCAAAAAAAAAAAAGAAAGAAAAAAAAAAAAGAATTCATGTATGCCAAATCACACAACTTTTAAGGACTCCTGGTCTTCTTAGCTGCTCTCGACTGAGGTTCTCTGACCCCAGTCTGAAAAGGCTCCCACAGCTGTCCCAGGTATGGCAGCAACTTCTCCTCTATGACCCCATGATGGTGTTTGTGTTTACTATCCTTGGGAGGAGTGAGAAAATATTCACCTATGAGCAACTCTGAGAGACGCATGGAACAGACAGGCAAGGTTATAGATCTGTGAGACCATGAACAGGAAGGGGCTAAGACATTTGCAAAGCGTAGGAACAATATCCTTGAGCAAAAACCTTCTTAATTCATACCAGCCACAGAACACAGCTGGATGTGGAAAACAGGGTGATAGCAAGCTCACAGTGTGTCAGGGGGCTTCTGCTGCCTGCTGACATGAGCTGTGTCTCTAGACTGGGTCCATCCCACTTACCAGCTGCAGCTGATAGAGCTGGTTCAACATCGTCATATGCTGAGGGTTAATTGGCGAGGTTAATAGTGCAGGGCTGAGACCAATGTTTTTTGCTGCAAACTGCAAAAGCTGTGCTTGAACCTGTGGAACAGAAAACATATCATTAACCACCGTCTCTATGGAGACATGCACTTGTCTGTGTAACCACCATTTCTATGGAGGCATTCACTTGTCTGTATAGCTTTGTTTTGGGGTTCAAATTGGTTAACTGACAATTACATTTGTTTGACAGCGGAACTTGAGAGGCCATTAAGAACATTTTATGAACATTTAAACATTAGTAGTTAACATGTTCAGAATACAAAATATTTTAAAACTAATGTACTTTTTCAGCTGGGTGTGGTACCACATGCTTTTAATCCTAGTATCAGGGAGGTAGAGGCAGACAGATCTCTGTGAATTTGATGCCAGCCTGGTCTACAAGAGTGAGTTCCAGGACATTCAGGGATACACAGAGAAACCCTGTCTTGATAAATAGATAATTAATTTTTTTCTTTCTTTATTGAGACAGGGTCTCATGTAGCTCAGGCTAGCCTTTAAAAGGCTATGTAGCAGATGGACTAGAATTCCTCCTGATCCTTTTGCCTCTACTTGATGAATCCTGGGATTACAGGCAAGGACCACCATGCAAGCCAGCTTCTAGAAGATTTCTTTCTCTAAATATTTTAGCTGTACATTTTCTTTCCGTGGCTTGAGGCCATTCCTATCAGAGGTTAGTTTATGTTCTGCCAAAGGGAGACTTTAAGGTCTGGAGGAGATATTAATCCAGCTAACTGCTGCCTCAGCAGAAGGAAGGTGCATTGTCTTATGTAGGCCTCCAACCATCTCCATAGGAGTTGCTACAACCTCATTAATACATTTAACTATTTTTCTACCAAGTTCTAGCCATCTCACATCACTGTACAGAGCTGTTCTTTTCCACGTGTCAACACTGTCTCTCTATGTGCAGGGACAGAATAGATGTCCCTCAGACTCCTAGGATGAATGAAACATTCTCAAATATGGTAGTGAAGGGGCTAGAGAGATAGCTCAGTGGTTTAGAGGAGTTTTTGCTCTTGCAGAGGACCTGAGTTCAGTCTCAGTACCCACATAAGAGGCTGCAACTATCTGTAAGTAACTCTAGTTCCAAAGCTTTAGACCCCTCTTCTGACCTCTTTGTGTATCAGGCACACACATGGTACACATGCACACATGCAGGCAAACCACTCACACACATAAAACTAACCAACCAACCTAACTAATTTACAGAGGTGGAATTTTAGGAGGTGACCAGGTTATGAGGACTGTGTCCTGAGTGGGTCAGCGCCCTTACCAATAAAGCCCAGGGAAGCTGCTGCTGGCTCAACCCTCTGGATGCACAAAAGTCACCAATTAGGAAGAGTGAGCCATGTACAGTGTCAAATCCTCTGGATCCTTGCTCTGGGACTTGCGGCCTTCAGAACTGTAAGCTACTTGTACACTATCCATTTCAACAAACCACACAGCACTTTAAATTAAATGTTACAGGTAATGGGACTAGCATGGTCTCTTTTAAAACAGATTAGAAATAAGGTTCTTCAGAGATCCCAGCTACCTGTTCGGTAGTAGAGGTCTCATGACAAAGCAGCTGTGTTTCTGTCAGCAGAGTGCTCCTTGAGGTGGGGACTTCAGGACACCCTTGCTCTTTCCAGGCAGATACCATAATTATAGACTGGCTGGAGTTGTGAGTTACCTCAGGTTCAATCAAGGATGTTATCAATATGAACTGATTACTAGCATTCTTAACAAGGGATAAAGAATGTCGTTCTGTAATTAAAAATAGGCCAAAGCTAAAATTATTAATGTTCTAAAAGTAAACAGTGCTGAAGTTTAAAAAAAGGACAGTCCTAGTGCCACACAACCCCACAGCATCCTTCTCCTTACTTGTGCTGGACATTAGGACTCTTTTCGAGTCTTTAGAATGCCACAACAGCCTCAAGTGGCACACATACCTTGGCAGAAACCAAGAAATCTCTAATTGGACTTAAGGCCTACTCAGCAAAAGAAAAATCATGCTTGGTATTGGAAACTAGCCAACTGCCCAGAACTAGTGAAGTCATGGATCTTTGAGGAGAGCCTACAGCTGCCACTTTACTAAGCCAGTATAAACCCAACTCTAAATACTTGTCCTTACACATGTAGTCCTCCCCCCGTCAAGGAAACGTCTCTTTCCAACAGACAAAAGACCATTACAGAAAAGTGTAACCGATCAATACAGAGTTGTAGAGTCCAGTCCCAATGAATATGTACCTAAGGTTCAGGGATTAGTGCGGAAGAAGGTTGGAGGTTAAGAGCCAGAAAAACAGGATGAGTATGAGACGTTTTCCTAGAATGTCAGAGAACTATATATGTCAAGTCTCACCAACATGGCTGCCCAAGAATGATTTGAACAGGTATGCTAATGTGGAAGGGGAAAGCTCAGGAGGCCTGAACCCTAGACAAAGAACGACAGGCAACTAAGGAATAATAAGAGAGAGAAACAGTTTTCACCAGGGAAAGACACACTAGGTGGCTATCCAATACCAAACTGTCAGGCCTGAAAACATACACACACAAGAAATGTGACAGAAATGAGCAGGTCATACTTACACATTTAGGAAAGAACATGTGCACGCGCACGCACACACAACCACCATCACCAATTTAAAAAAAGGAGGGCACAAATTTGTGTGTGTGTGTGTGCGTGTGTGTTTAAGCAGGATCTTGCCTTTGCTGTGTATCCCTGGCTAGCCTTGAATTCATAGAGATCCTCTTGCTTCAAGAGAACAGACATTGGAATGAGAGCAAGAAGGGATACAAGGAAGGATTTGGAGGAAGGAAAAGGAAGGGGGAAATAATGTAATGATATTTTTATATAAAAAATATACATATATGAGTGAATCACACACACACACACGAATGTCTATGGATCTGGGCTAGAGAGATGGCTCAGCACTGGCTGTTCTTGCAGAGGACCTGAGTTTGACACCCAGCACCCACATAGTGGTTCGTTACCTCTGTTACTCCAGTTGTAGGGGACCTGATACTCTCTTTAGTCCTCCAGGGGTACCTGGCATGCACATGGCGTACAAACATGAAAGAATCCCTGTAAATCCGTGGATCCTGTGGTGCACAACAGTAATCCTAGTACTCAGGAGGTAGAGGCAAAAGTACATGGATCCCTGTCAGGCCAGCCTGGTCTACTTAGAGACCCTGTCTCAAAAACAGAAAAAAAAAAAAAAAGGAAAATAAAATTTGAAGAAAGAAAGAAACAACGACCACATGGTGCTGGCTAGTTTTATGTCAACTTGACACAAGCTAGAGTCATCAGAGAGGAGGGAGACTTAATTGAGAAAACGCCTCCATAAGTCTGGGCTATAGGGAAGCCTGGAGAGCATTTTCTAAACTAATGATTGATGAGGGAGGGAGGGCCCAACCCATTGTATGTGGTCCTGGATGAGCAGGTGGAGCAAGCCTAGTAAGCAGCCCTCCATGGCCTCTGCATCAGCTCCTGCCTCCAGGGTCCTGTCCTGCTTTCAGTCAGTGACCAACAGTGATGCAGAAGCAGAAGCAAAGCAGAGCTCTCCTCCCCAACTTTCTTTTGGTTGTGTGTTTTATCACAATAATAACAAGCCTACCTAGGACACATACCATGGAGACAATGAGCAAACACTACAACCTCCTCACTCATCTCATTCGGCAATGATCAGCTAGTATATACCAAATATAATCCCCAATCTATAACACACACACACACACACACACACACACACACTCCCCCACCACAGAGTTTCTCTGTGTAGCCTTGGCTGTCCTGGAACTCCTCTGTAGACCAGGTTAGCCTCAAGCTCACAGAGCTCCCTGCCTCATGCAAGCTGGGGTTAAAGGTGAGGTCACCGGGCTCTGTGCACACACACACTCACACACCATCACCACGCTCTGTGCACACACACTCTCACACTGTCATCACACTCTGTGCACACACACTCTCACACTTCACCATGCTCTGTGCACACACACACTCACACACCATCACCACTCTCACACTGTCACTACACTCTGTGCACGCACACTCTCACACAACTCCAACTGCTATCTTGCTGATACACCCTTGTCTTGGGTGTCCTTAACCTTCTTGATGTTCTATACCAACAGTCTGCTTGTTCTCATTCCAAATAACCCAGGATACTGCTGTCAGGTTTATCATAATAATTTCTGGATCCAACCAGATCCAGCCAGAGCCAGATCAAAACCATACCAAGCACAGTGTGCAGAACTTATTGGTCAGACCTGAGGGGATAGAAACTGAGGCACTTGAGCTCGGAGGCTGGGCTGGGAGGAATTAAGAGGCTGCACTGGCGGCGGCTGCATGGTCCTGGCTTGTGCTGCTCCGCTATTGCCAAACACACCCAGATTGCCACTCGGGATCTGCAGAAGACAGAACAGCTATTAAGAAGTTGGGGTAGGCAGGATGGGGAAGGGCTGAGTGATGGGCTTCCCATAATGAATGCCTATGTTTCTTCTCTTTCCTGCCCCTTCAACCTAGTCCCTAAATGCACTTTGGACAAATGCTATTTGTACAGGTTTTGGAGGATGAAGAATCAGCTTAGGGAACTGCCTATAATTTTAAATCACAGGATACACACATAACTGCATTTTAAGGAGTCCCTAAACATGGCTGTCACAATTAAAGAGATAATTAAGAATGACTCAAAAATAATGGTGATCAGATGAGTCTGGGTAGCAGGCTTCCATCCCTGAAGGTTGTGTGCAGTGAGGCAGAGAGAGTGTGTGCTGAACACTGGTAAGCAGAACGTCACAGTGCAGTGAGAAATGCAGCAGTTATTTCAACAAACCCTGAGACTGCGTCACCAGCAAAGTTAGAGAGTTAACCTGGTGTCCAACATACCTCATTTACTCTGCGTGTTCTCCATGTTGTGGCATGAGCCACCTAGCTGATGGGTGTTGTTTGGAAAGCTGACTGAGAGACACTGACAACAGAGCCTGCTATGCCTGTGCTGCGCCCAACAGACTGTGGGTTTCTAGGGTTCAATCTTCCTACTAAACTTGACCAAAGAGCTGCTAAGAGTTGACAGGTCCATGATAATCTGTAGTGGCCTCAGGCACTCAGGCCTCTCAGTCTCTTTCTGGGGACCTCTTACAGAGAGCATGACAAGCTCTGCAAATTTCATACAAGTTCCCTCTGTTTCTAGAAAAGACCCCCCCAACCCCCATGTGAAGAACACTTGGTAACAGACTGGCACTTCAGTCAGCAACAATAACTTGGAGTTTGGAGTGCAGAGAGGAGCTCAAATACATTTTAGTTCAGCATAAAAATAACCCTGAAACATTCCTATAGTGTGACTAAATTCCAAGAACTGACTGTCATTCAATATGGAGCTTCTTTCTGTGAGCACCCCAGGGGTGTCCTGAGAGCTTTCAGTAGCTTTACATATTTCCTCATATTTTAAGATCAAAGTATCAACTAAAGACAATATTGCTTCCTGTACCAGGTTAGAGAAGTCAGGAGAAGGAACGCAGACCACTCCCTGCTCTTCTCCAGCAGCCTTACCTGTCTAGAAGAGTTCAAGTTTTGCATGCCCAGCCCTGAGGCAATCCCACCCAGGGCCTGATTGGGGAGTGCACTGTTGGAAAGGGGGAGCTTCAGGCTTGGGGAAGGCAAAAACGGTGAAGTCGTGGGCTCTTCCACGAGGCCGCCATCCTGATTGGAGAAAGAAAGGGTGAGCTGTGTGCGGTGCCCACCAGCACGCAGAGCACCAAACAGTTTCCCATGGCAATAGTGGGGTGGGGGTGGGGTGGATGGATAAAGAATTGAACAATAAAAAAATGTGTGGATGATGAGGGAATGGAGGACATGGGCAACAGGAAGAGGAGAGAAGAAAGAGAGAAAGAGGATTACGATGCTGCTTTGTTAAGACCCCGACAAGCACACACTTTAGCTTCTAGCATTGCCCCCACTCCACTGCCTTGGCCTGGCTACTGTGGGGAAGGGACAGACACAGCAGCAAGTCTAACCTGCAAACACCAAGAGCATAGCTTCCTGGAAGGCTGGCCTCCACACAGCACTTGGCTTCCTCTGAGAGCAACTCCAGGTTACCTAACTGCCAAGCTCTGAAGGTCTAGCACCTCATCCGGCAGCACAGCTGCCTGCAGATTACTGCACACTTAACGGAGGAGCTCAGAGCCCAATTACACTTCCAGATTCCGAAAACAAAAACAGACAGTGGTGTACAACTGCAGTCTCAGAACTCCAGAGGTGGCAGCAGGAGAATAAGGAATTCGAGGCCAGCTAATAACTTGAAATGTCAGACAAATATTTTGTAGTATAAAGTGTTCCTGCCCATGCACGCCACAGCTCATCTGCCTGCATGGAGCATGAAGAGACTCTGGGACGACCAAGTCCTGTCGTGGTGACAAGGGCCCTTCTGGGAACAGAACTTGGATGGACTCTGGGCTCCAGTGTATGGAAGGCAAGGGCTCTACCAAGCTAACATCTACACGAGTCCCCTTTCCTTCGAGGCAGGCTCTTGTTCATAATATAAGGTGGCCTTGAACTTGAGGTCCTCCTGCCTCAATTTCTTGGGAAGCTGGGATTAGTGCCCCTAAGCCTCACTTCCTTGTCTTTTCTAGACTTGTCTTTTCTTGCGTCAGTTGTATTTTCAGGGTTCAACATTGAAATTGAATTTAATGTGATGCTCTCGCCTTCTGGAGTCATACCACTCTGAAGAAGGGACACCCGCCCATGAGACTGTAGCCTTGGCTGTCCTGAGAGATCCCTGCCTCTGTCTCCCAAGTGTTGTGATTAAAGGCCTGTGCCACCACTGCCCTGCCTACCAGTCATTTTCTAAGGCTAAACCTGCTATGTGTCATCTCCAATCAGAACTGAGTGTTTCAAGTGAGTCAGAGAAATGTGATGATCTGGCTTACTGCCTAACTGAATAGAAAACTGCCAGGTTCACAGACTAACAAGGAGTCAGTTTTCAATTCCTGTACTTCCCACTCCTTACGGTACCTGTGTAATGAAACAGTACCTCTGAGTCATACATTCTGACATGTTAGGAAAATTGAGGCAAAAGCCACTTAAATGTCCTAACTTTCCATCTGACTTGCTTTAAGGACACAGCTCAGATAAAGACTTCTTGTTGCAGGCAGAACTAAGACAGCTGCCTAGATCCATACCTTGTCAAGGAAGGTGGGGCGGTCCATGGAAGACTCTTTGGAGATTGGTGGGCGGCAGCTGAGGGGTTTGGTGACCATTCCATTGTAGTCGGTCATTCCCAGTCCACGTTTGTCCATGTCCACCTTCTTTTCCAGCAGAGCACCTGGGGCACACCATGGAGAGCAGCTCTGAGAGCGAGTGGGCGAGTGAGTGGGCGAGCAAGCACTTGACAGGAGGTAGTGACGGACCACCCTGTACACCTGTGACTGGACCTGCTCCCCCTGCTCCTGGCCACTCTGGCCATGCTGTCCCCGGCCAGCCCCTAGGAAGCTCATTATCATCCTCTCTCCAGGAGGCAAGGCCTCTGCCCCACCCCAACCCCCAGGTCTGCCTGTACTTGCTTCCTCCCTTCAAGCCACCAGCTCAGGGCCTCCCCACTGAGGTAATCTGAGATAATGACCTCCCTCAGGGTCACTGCCTGCTGTGGGGAAGCTTTCGGCCTACTACATTGTGTTTGGATGTCACCGCTTCCAGTGTTACACAGCATGCAAAGAAACTGCACATGCCATGCCAGGTCATTTTCTTTCAGGCATGAGCTGCAGCACTGTGGCTTGTGAGTTGGGTGCTAACAAATTCCAGCAGAGAATCAAGGAGAAGGAATTTCACTGGTGAGGCTCCTCAGGAGGTGCTGAGGTTGGCATCCACTGTAGGCCTGGAGCTACCAACAGGTCAACAAACAGTTCTATGTACTGAACTGGCAGTGTGGCTCAGCAGTAGACGCACTTACTATTCAAGCCTGCTGACCTGAGTTTGATCCCCAGAAGCCAAGGAAAAGTTGTAGAGAATTGACTCCACAGAAGTTGTTCTCTGACCCTAACATATGTACCACACACACTTTACATGCACAGGTACCACTGCATGTGTGCCCCCACACACTTCACACACATATACTACTGCATGTGTGCCCCCACACACTTCACACACATATACCACTGCATGTGTGCCCCCACACACTTCACACATATGTATCACAGGATGTGTGCCCTCACACACTTCACACATATAGAGCACACACACACAGACCACTGTATGTGTGCCCCCACACACTTCACACACATGTACCAATGCATGTGTGCCCCCACATACTTCCCACACATAGAGCACACATACACAGACCACTGCATGTGTGCCCCCACACACTTAACACACATGTACCACAGCATGGGTGCCCACACACACTTCATGCAGATACACCATAAAAATATGCATAATGGATAGTACAGCTGGCAGTCTGGGTAAAAAAAAATTACAACCATATTACCCAGGGTCAGGAGACATTATCAACTCACATTTTATTATAAAAACATGTTAAATAAAGTATTCTGAAACACTAGCATATATAAAATAAGGGTATGAGTGGCTAATAGGTTTGTGGGAGCCTTCATGGGGTTATCCCAGAAGAGGCACTTGCCATATGATTGGGGTATTCTGTGCTTATTCTTCCCCTGAGCCTGGATTTGTCTACCCACCTCTTCAGATTTAACGATGGCTATAAACAAATAGTTCTACAAAGCAAAACTTCCCAAGAGGCACCTGGGAACAGTTGTCCTGTCACACTTACTCATGGCCTGGTCAAGGTTCATACTGTTGCTTTTCAAGGCCTCTTCAGCTGGCTCTCTCTGGGGAGAAGCAGAACTCTTATCAGCAGTGCACACAGACAGACAACCAGAGTAACTCTTGAACATCTTAGCACTCAAGCGGAGAAGTGGCGACTAGCACTAGTTTTTGGAATTGGAAATGTTCTCGCTTGTTGAGGTCAGAAACAGCATCTTTTTTATTCTTAAAGACAGGTGTGGTGGTGCGTGTATATGTACACTCTGCCTCTGCCTCCTGAGTGCTATAGAGATGATGTCTTGTAACAGAAAACACTTGTAGCTAAAACTAATTGTACTGAGTCTAGAATGGAGAGTCAAGAACTTACATTTAGCTAGACATCGCAGCTCACACCTTTAATCTCAACAGACAGATCTCTATGCATTTGAGGCCAGTCTGGCCTACACAATGAGATCTTGTCTCAAAAACAAAGAAAGAAAATTTGTATTTAACATCAGAAATAAAAAATATGGGATTTGGGGGCTGGAGAGATGGCTCAGCGGTTAAGAGCACTGACTGCTCTTCCAGAGGTCCTGAGTTCAATTCCCAGCAATTACATGGTGGCTCACAACCATCTGTAATGGGATCCGATGCCCTGTTCTGGTGTGTCTGAAGACAGTGACAGTGTACTCACACGCATACATATAAGTAAGTACGTTAGTCTTTAAACAGTGGGGTTGTAGGAAGTTTACAAGCACCCCTACACCTGTATCTGCTCTGGACTAAACAATGACAGTTCTGCAGACTCCAGAGCTCTGGGCTCTTCACATGCAGGGACCTGTTTTATCTGTCACTCTGGATGCCAGGAGGTATGTAACATCAACCTTTCGTATGTCAGCAACACTAGTCTCTATCGCCCAAACTTTTGGCCAAGAAATAAAAAAGCAATCAGATCAGATTCATGCTGGTAACTGTCTTTTTATCAGAACAGACTAATTCCTGAAGAAAATCAAAGTTGCTTGCTAGGGGCCGGAGAGGCGGTGCGTCAGTCAGCATCGTATACTGTTCTTGCAAAGGACCATAATTCAGTTCCCAGCACCATACGTGGTGGCTCACAAATGCCTATAACAACTGCAGCTCCAAGAGATCTGATACTCTTTTTTCTGACCTCTGCAGGAACCATCCTCATACATCAAACTCATACTCAGGAACATATATATACATATGAAGAGTACTGGATGCTCTTTCAGGGGACCTGGGTTAGAGTCCTAGCCCCCACAAGGTTGCTAACAAAAGTCTGTAATCCTAGCTGTAGGAGATCCAATGCCTTCCTCTGGCTCCTGAAGGCAGCAGGCACACATGTAGGATACAGGCATAAAGCAGACAAAATACCACACATGAACAAGTTAATGAACTGAAATATAAAAATAAGGTCTGGAGATGGCTCAGAGGTTGAGAGCTTACTGCTCTTGCACAGGACTCTGGTTCAGTTCCCAACACCCACAGATGGCTCACAACCACCAGTAACTCTAGTTCCAGGGGATCCCACATCCATTTCTAGCCTTTCTAGGTTCATAAATGCAGACAGGCTCACATACATGTACACAAATTAAAGAATGACTTAAATGTTTGAAACAAACCTTAAAGAAACAGAAAAAAACCAAAATTGCTGGGGCTGAAGGGCACACTGGGATACCTATGGGGTTGGGGAGGAGCATGCTGGGGATGCCCATCACAATATTTTCTGATGGTTTAGAGAGAGGCTGTTCCATAGGGCAGTGGCCTGCTCATTTATATAGCATCAGTATAAGGCCCAAGGCCGTTTTGGACTCCTCTCAGGTACATGCACAGTGACTGAGTGACAGATGTACACTGGGACAAGGATTTGGCAGAAAGCCATGAAGGGCTTGCATGGGGAACACGAGCACTAGCCTGTTCTCTGGCCCACTGTTACCTGACCTAAGCGCTGGGAAGACTGAGGAGCTTCTTCGAACACAGGAATGAGGCTGATTTGTTAGATTGCCATGGGGAGGTTGATGCCTAATTGTACTAAGCTTCTTGCTATGTCTTTTCACTTACTACATAAGGAATGAAACTCACTTGTAATTATAAATCACAGAAAATATGAAACTGTCTAAGTCTATGGAAATTACAAATCATATATAGGAAGAGGCATTCTTGATGGAAACTGAGTAATTCTTTGTTTATGGCCCAGGCCAAAGGGAACTCAACAAATAATTAGACAGTAATGTCATCCATAGAGCCTCTGTGCCTCAACACACACACCAGACTGGCTAGGGAATGCTTTCAGGGTGTCCACTGGAGTCGTGGGGCAGGAGCATCAAGGATGTCAGTTACCGGGAAGCCCATGTCTGTGAGTTGTTTGATCAGCCGGCTCATGATCCAGGCCTCATCCTGTTTGCCAGGCGTCTTCATGCCCTAGAACAGAGTGGGCAAAGGAAAAGGCCAGGAGTTAGTTTTAATGTGTTTTAGAAATAGGTGACAACACCTGGGTGGTGGCGGCACACGGCTTTAAACCCAGCATTTGGGAGACAGAAGCAGGCAGATCTCTCGAGTTCAAGGCCAGCCTGGTTAATACTAGTTAATAGAGCAAGTTCCAAGACAGCCAGGGCTACACAGAGAATCCTTGTTTCAAAAAAAAACAAAACAAAACCAAACCAAACAAACAAAAAAAACCAATAACAAAAACAAAAAAAAAACAAAACAAAACTCAATCCAATAATAAAAGTGAGTGATTGCCCAAACTCAGTGACGGCAGCCACAGAACCTGTGAGTTGACACTAACTGTGCTGTCCCGAAGAGCCGACGTCATCTTGTAGGTAACACTGTGGGAAACTGCAGGGTGCATCTAAAGGCTGATTATGTCTGCCATTTATAGATTAACAAAGAGCAGGGGAATGACTTCTCCTCTTACAAACGTACTTGTCTGACCCCAATGTACACTATTCCCACAGGAACGCCTTGGAGGCTCTCAGCACTGTCAAGCTTCCTAAACATTTCAGTTTTTACCTTCATATACCATTTATTCTCAACAAGGACAAAATGCAGAGCTCTTGGGAAAGAGCCACGTAAGAGAGAACAACAGTCTGCTGATCTTCACCATGTATCTTTATCCGCAGTCTGGCCCTCACTCAGGTGAAAGGAAAGGAACAAGAAGAGAGATGTTAAAGGAAAGGAGGAGAGAGGCCGACCACAGAGAAAGGGCAGCCCAGGGGCAGGGCAAAGGCAGCCTGAAAACCAGGTACACAAGGTGGAACAGTGTCTACATATTCTCCCTAACAGTCAACAAAACCAAACTGAAACTCACCCTCTTACAGCGTCTGCTGCAGTGTGTTTGCTCTCCCTGGTGAACCACTTCCTTTCCTTCTGTGTTTTCCTTCCTCTCTGCCTTTTTAGACAGGGTTCTCCTGTAGAATAGGCTGAGGGGGACCCTGAACTCCTGATCCTCCTTGTCTTCGCCGCCCAAGTACTGGGTTCCAGGTGTGCACCACCACCCTCGTCCACCTCAAGCCTGCTGCAGACCGCAGCAGAGCACACATCGGGAGCAGCGGGAGAACTCTGACCCGTGGCAGGCAACTCACCTGGACGGCCAGGTCCTATTACTGCAATCTACTATTAGGATTTCAGGTCCTATGGCAACGGATTATCCAGCTCACCGTAAAACAACTTCATCATGTCTGTAATAATTTCTACTCCTTATCAACAGACATGCTGATTTCCATTTTTGGGTTCTGTCTGCTGCTTAATGAACGATTTTCAATAGCACTTTCTTTTTCTTTTTTTTTTTATTGGATATTTTATTTATTTACATTTCAGATGTCATCCCCTTTCCTCATCCCTCCCTCAGAAACCCCCTATCCTATCCCTCCTCCTTTTTTTCTTTATTAGTATTTTAAGTTAACATATAAAGTACTAGGCTTTATTACAGCATCCTCATACATGTGTCATTAGAGTTCTGATTGTTTCCCTCTGCCCCTTCACTTTCTTCCTCCAGCTAGTTTCCTCATCTGATTTCCTGTCACATGGTCAATGGCACTTTCTTAAATAGCAATAAATTCATAATTGTAAATTATGAAGGAAATAAAGTAAAAAGTCCTCAATGCTGTCTCATCTGTATAGATTCTGGTCTCTTGCAAGAAGTCTCTCTTTGAGGATTATTCTCTATACTTCCAGAGAACAGAAGGTTTGGAACACCATATAGAAGCTGTTACACGTATACACACAGCTATGTCTCCCTCTTATCTTCCTACACACTGTGCTAGGTATGTTTTTTTGTACTTTGCCTTTCTCATTTGTTGACGGTTCCATTAAGTATACAAGGCAAGTGTCTGGCTTCTCATGTGAGGATGTGCAGATGGATTCTAACTGGCTGCTGCACTAAAGCGTATTCATTCTCATGTTTGATGACAACAATGTCCCAAAAGAACTACAAATGTTTGTGGCCAGCAGGGGTGCGTCCATATGCGGTGACACTAGTGTACACTGCTAGCAAGGTGCCAGGGAGACCCGATGGCCACCCCAACTCATAGAGCAGCAGAAGTCCAGAAGCTGACTAAACACTCCTAGTTAAGTAAGTGCAAGTGACAGTAAGTGAAGTAAGTGCAAGCTTGGGTGCTCAGGCTGCAGGCATTGGTCACTGGCCGTGCACATTTGATCAGTGTGACATTCTTTGTTCATTTTCCTATTGGATTCCTGTATACATCAGGGAGATGAGCTTTTTCTATGATGTAAATGATATCCCTCCCCGCTATTCTCCCTTCCAGTCTTTTGACTTTAATTCGGATGTTACCTGTTATGTACAGGTTTTATGATTTTTATTGCAGTCCATACACTACCTCACTCCCAAAAAAGAACTTCCTGGAAAAGACAAAATTCTTTATTTGTTATTAATATGAAAATAGCTTTTTGTTTTTTTCAAGGCAGGATTTCTCTGTGTAGACCTTGCTGTCCTAAAACTCACTATGCAGCCGAGGCTGCCCTTGAACTCACAAAGATAGGCCTGCCTTTGTCTCCGGAGTGTTGGGATTAACAGCACCACTACGCCCAGCCATGAAAACAGTTTTGATCTTGCCAATGTACAAGACTATCTAGAGGGAGTTCTGTCTTCCCAGCAATCACTAGCCCTGCCTAGACTGCAGGACAGGCATCCCAGCCTCCCGGCCTCCCCAGCAGCACCTACCTTCTGAAGTCCTTTTTTTGAGGCATTGCCCCAGGAGCTGCAGGATGAGCTGCTTTCTTGGGAGGCAGCATTGTTCCACATGTCCCCGTCCTCATCCTCCCACTGGCTGGCACCCAGGTTCATTTCGTCCGCACCACTGCCCCAGCCTTCTTGCATAGATTTGGAAGCTGGAAAAGAGCAGTGAGGAGCTTGTCACTCACCTGTCCTGAGAGGAAACCTGTGTCACCAGAATACACGAGGGGAGGGGAAGAAGGAACTATTGTTATCTTTAATCTATTTCTTTTCTCTTAGGTACAGGATGTGTATGTAATGTCTTCCTTTATAACTCCAGCTGTACTGCTCCAAACTTCCTCAGTCAACTCTACCCTCCCTCTAGACACACAGGCATTCTAAAACCAAGTCCCAGACTACAGGGGTGGTAGCAGTCTGTACACAGATGAAAATGCAACTAAAATGTGGATTCCTGAAAAATGCCACTGTCTTTCTTTTAGGTCTTAGCTTCTCCTTTAATCCCAGCTCATGGGAGGCAGAGGCTGGAGGATCTCTATGAGTTTGAGACCAACTCAATCTACAAAGTTCCAGACTAGCCAGGGCTATATAGTAAGACTCTGACTCAAATCAGTCAACCAACCTAGGACATACATCTATTGAGAAGCAAAGAAAACTGAACAATTCTGCAGCCATGGAAATAGTTATCTACTGTTTCTATTCATGGTCTTTTTCAGGATAGGGATGTAACCCAGGGCCTTGCAACATGCCAAGCAAGACGTCTACCAGGACAGCCAGGGCTACACAGAGAAACCCTGTCTCGAAAAACAAAGATATGCTCTAAAATTCAGTGAAAAAAATCTCGATAAATAGAATCCTCAGGCCTCATTTTATTTTGTGTGTATGACATACGTAAATTGTATGTGTGCTACAGGCATATAAATCTATAAATTCATAACACATGTGTGCACATGAAGGGCAAAGGAATGTATCAGGTGGTGTCTTCTATCATTTTCACTTTATTCCCTTAAGACATGATCCCCAACAAATGAAGCTAGCCATTTTAGCTATGCTAGCTGGGTGGGGAGCTCCCAGGATGCACCTGTTTCTGCCCTCCAATGCTGGAGTTGCAGGCACATGTAGCCATGCCTGGCTTCTTATGTAGGTGCTGGAGATTTGAACTCAGGTCCTTATACTTGCACAGCTAATAATCTTACTTACTGATCTACTTCCCCAGCCCCATGAATCACATCTTAAGTGCTAGGTCCAGGCATGTTGGCTTACCTGGTTTGCACAGGGCTGGGGCAGCAGCAGGACCGCTGGCTCTTCCAAATGGCACCACTGGCTCGGCAGGATGATCCCATCCACTGCCACTGCTGGGAGGCTTCCCCCACGCTGCTGTGCCATTGTCAACCAGGGTAGAAGGGGAAGATGGCTCTCCCCAGGAGTTCTCGGCCTTGGAGTGAACATTGGGCATCTCTCCCCAGCCGGATGAAACTGGGAAGGGAGAGAGTACAAGTGAACCGGAGAAGTCAGGCTCTGCAGTCCTCACCACCCTGTACTTCAAGGAGCCCTGCCTCTGCTGTCAGTGACAAGGGCAGTGCCAACAACTGCAAACTCCACTGGGTGGATCAGCTCAGAGGCCTGAGGAGACAGCACAGGGTGTGGCCAGCTCCAAATTGTTTGGTCTCAACATGAATATTATCTCAATTGTGAAATTTGTTAGTTTTCTTACTAATGATAGTATGGAACTGGTTCCGACAACACTCTTTATCCTAATAAAATGCAGTAACCCTGATTAATGACAAAAAGAACATGAAGCTATGAATCATTTTAAATTTCAAGCTCTCTGCTGAGCAAGTTTAAGCAAATTGTTAACAATAACTGGTAAGTTATCCCAATCAGTTACAGTACTACCAGTAACTACACACAAAGCAGTAACCAAAACTGAAAAGCAGTTTTTCAAACTTCTGGGGCAATTAAATGAAGAAGATCCCCATAGCTGGTCACGTGTTACTATGACCATCAGCAGAAAAGCTCGAGTCAGCAGGTGAGGGCAGGCTCATGATTCTTCTGATCTGGCGTTCTTCCATGGTCATGTCTTTCAAGGCCAGATTACAAGATATTAACAGAATAATTAAGTAAGTTAAAACTAAGAATAAACAGTCAGACCATAGTAATTAGTTAATCTATTTTTTTTTTGTAGAAAGTTTTGGTTCCTGTTAAGAATCAATAGAAAATCCTCTGTATGTAGAAGAGGATTCGCTGGCTTCACATCTCAAACCTTTGGGGAGAAGTGGAAGAACCACCCAGCAAACTGTCTTCCTGGGACAAGCTCATCTCTGGCAAGACTCACAAAGACCCAGCCAGGGTCTAGTCTCTAGAAGAGATGTGACAAACTGAAATATACTAAATCATTCTGGTACAAAGTAAGCATTTTCAGCTTACAGACAATAGTTTTAAATGCACAGCATTAAAATAATGTCCAATGCTTAAGTGCTGTTGCTAGAACAAACATGTTTTGGTATAAAAGTTGGACGGATCAGGTTGACCTAGCTTTATTTACATTTAGAACACTGATGGGGCCCGAGGACGAAGTTTAGCCGGAGAGCACACAACACCCATGAGACCCTGTTTCACCCTCAGCATCGGTGCCCACCTGACCAACCAAGCAACAATACCCAAACAAACAAGTATTTTAAAATACTATCCTTTTTTTTTTTTTTTGGCCAAAAGTTTTCCATTTTTGTGTGTGTATTCACTTTATAGGATTTCAGGGGGACCACACTGGATTTCCAACTTCCACCCACTTATTTCTCAGTGAAGGTCCTGCAGTGGAAGTCTGTGTATGAGTTCACAGGCTTTCATATTTCGGCATCCTTACCAATTCTGTAGCAGATCTACCTAATCCCCGTATCCCTACAAAATACAGGAGGAAAGCAAAATCCCCGTCCCTGCCCATAGCTACAAAAAGTACCCATCACTCAGACCTCTCTTCTGTTACAAGTACTGCAAAGTTGCTGAAAGTGGACTCCTTCTGGCTGGAGGCTAATTTTCGAGTCCCGGAGTCCAGACAGCAGCTCTGTCACAGCTTCTTTGCTGTGACACAGGAGAAGAGGGAAGTTCCTAGGATGGAGGTCTAAGACACTGCTCTCTAGCTTTTGCTTCTCTTAAGATGGCTAAGAGGCCAGCAATCACCGATGTAGGCAGAAGCCAAGCTTTCCCAAGCTTCAGTGTAGTGAACGGGACATGGCTTTCCTACGGTTAACTCACGTAAGCTCAGTCTAGAAAACCTTTTAATATTTGTGTCTGAAAAGCAAGCTTTGGAACAAGGAGCAGTGGACCCAAATGCAAAGTCAGCCTTTCCAGACCATAGGCCCCCTGGTGAGCAGCCTCAAACCTGTCTCAGCTGCCTCAGGTAGGATGCAGGACTCTTGAATCCGCTTCTCAAGAGCCATCTTCCCTTATTCAGACTTCAAGACTCTAACATGGAACCACTATCCTACGTTGGTACACTGTCTATAGGCTCTGGAACACGATGAACTGAGACTTCCCTCACTGCTGGACAACAGTGTAGTCTTCGTGAGCCAACGGGAGGTCCCCGGGGAAGGTCACTGACCTTGCTCCGATCAGCTCTATGCTGCCCTCAGCAAGCATCTTTCCCCAACACCAATCCCTCTAAAAGTGGTCAGAGCACCTAGGTGAAACAACAATGCTCAGGGATGAAATAAACAGCCAGGCAAAGAGTAACTGCAGGTTTGAGGACAGCCTGAATGGAAATCAGAAACCCACCCCTCTATAGCAACAAAACAAAACCTAATCCAATCCAAATCCCACAGCAGCACTTCTGAGACCCAGCTATCACTGAGGACAGTACCCTGAACAGTACTGCTCTTCTGCTTTATTACCATTTACTGCTCCTTGTGTGTCTGCAGCCAGTCAAGTGCTAGGGAGTACCCATCTCCAAGTACACTAGGTCACCAAGCTGTCTGTGTGTCTGCAGCCAGTCAACTGCTAGGGAGTACCCATCTCCAAGTACACTAGGTCACCAAGCTGTCTGGCGGTCTTCACAATCTGCTTTAACCCCTTAGAAACTAGTAACGTCTGACTTTACTCTTTCTTGTTCTCAGTCATTTCTCATTAGAGGTCAAAATAGCAGCTTGGTTGCAAGACGATGTAACAGCTTCAGGTTCTGCCCGGCGGCCCAACTGAGAATAAGCAACTAGGAGGAAACACTGTGAAGTGCAGTACAGAGCTTGACTTTGTATCCTGTGTCAGCATAGCCTGAGAGCACTCCACAAACAGCTGGGAATCTGATAAAATGACAGGTACAGGGACATTTCTTCAGGCTATTACCACTGTTCTAACCACAAAGTGAGGTGCGGTCAGGTCCAAACAAGCCAGTTAGCCAAACTACAAAGAATTTCCTAACATATGGGTTTTACATAGACTCCTGGAAACTCAGTATCAATACAAGAACAGGACATTTACCCTTTGTAGCATTTACCCCTGTAAGATTATGTTCATGGAGAACCTATATTTTCTGACATAAATAGAAATTACATAAAGCCAGCACAGGTCAAAAGAAAAGCAGAATTCCTACAAAATACCAAGTTTATTAACAGCAAAAACCTGGTCAAACACTAAAAGTGATGGCTGCTTTTGCTGGAATAAACGATCTGAGTAGAGCCATGAAAAGCCTATGCCTGTGCTTCAGCCTGTCTGATCTAGCTTGGCAGCTGTTGTGGCTATCACCCAGAAGTCTGTGTGGAATCCTGCTTGCTACTTCTGTGGGGTCAAAGAACAGCTTCACTTAACAAGCTTGCAAAAAAAAAAAAATACAGGCTTTGGTTACTTGCAATTCTGGGGTAGCCTGCTTTAGGTCTGAGATAGGCAATGTAGGGTAAAGTGTGGCCACTCTGTCCCCGTGGGAGAGGAGAGACTGGCACTGTAAGAAAAACACATCACACCATCACTTGCTAAACCATACACCGAACTTGACAGTTTCTAGGAAGGGGCTGACCAGATAGGAAAAAACATTTTGTTTTTGTTAATGGTATCTAAATTCACAGAAGCTTCTATGATACTGCTATACCTTTAAGAATATGTAGACTCCAGAAGCTGGAGGGGGACACAGGGACTGAGAAGCCACATTTTGCATTTGGAATTAGTCAATAGTACACTTTTCTGCTTTTGTATTTGGTAGTCATGTGCGCTTTCATAAAATATAGTTACACAGTGAGCTCAGTAATCCCAGTCCTACAAAGACAGGAAGATTCAATCTACTCAAACTGGTAAGCTCCAGTCCTGTGTCACCACCTCTTAGGTGTTCTTTGACACTTGAGGCTGCCCTCCAGTCTCCATACACATGTACACACATTTACACACACCTGAGTGCACACATGTGCATATATGGTGGGACTAATCATGCTATGTAGGCCATGGTGGTACCCACTCTCTTTTCTGAGACAGGGTCTCACTATGTAACTCTGGCTGTCCTGGAGCTTGCTTTGTGGACCAGGTTGGCTCCAAATTCAGATTTTCCTGCCTCTGCCTCCCGAGCCCTGGGATTAAAGCCATGAGGCACCCCCACCCCCAGCTTGTGGTGGCCATTTTTAAGTACCAAATCTTCTCAAAGTACTTTCCATTTTTACCACATACAGATCTCAATGCAGAGACCTAGTACTGGCCTCTCTTTTGCTACACTGTATTATTGTTTTCAACCAGTTTCTCACATGTAGCTCTGGCTGGCCTAAAATTTCCTACGTAGTCCAGGGTGGCTTCAAACCTCTGGTCTTTCTACCTTTGTCTCTTGAGGGCTGAGATTACAAGGATGTGCATTATACCATACACTCCATACACTAAGCTTTAATTTTCAAATTCTGCTTCCTCTGGCTTTCTTAGACTTCACTATATAAATCAGGCTGGCCTTGAACTCACAGAAATCTACCTGTCTCTTGAATACTGGGATTAAAGGTTCGCACCACTATGCTCATCTATTTCTTTCCCCCCATCAGTTACCTTTCCTCCTCATTTTCTTCATTCTTTCAAATCCTTGAGATTGGAGTGCTTAGCAACAGTCAGTCATCAGTTACAGAACCAGGAACTGGGACCAGAGGTGGCTCAGCAGGTAAGAGCTCCTGCAGTTCTTCCAGAGGACCTGAGCTCACTTCCCAGCACCCATGCCAAGCACCTTACACCTGGGCTGTAACTTCTTTAAGGGATCCAATGTTTCTGGCCACAGAGGGCACTTGTTCTCATGTGAGCACAATCTCTATGTGGACATATACCTATATATAATCAAACCAGAAACCAGATGTTCAGATGCTGAAGCAGCAGCCAGTTAATATAATTGAGTTCAGTAGAAGAAACTGGGCCAGAACTTTTGGCTAATGTTAAAAGTCCCAGTGCTGGGGCCCTCTGGGCTGGCGCAAGTGTGTCACTGGGAGTACAGCCCTTCATTCACTCTAGTGGAATGCTGCCACATGATGTCATTGTGCCCTACCTTTACGGCTTCTAACAGAACTCTGGATTTTTCACTAGAAATATTGATTCATTAAAAAATATGCTCCAATTGGGAACATCTGTGGGTCTGAGTACAGTCTGTAACTTAGAACTTTTATCCAGGGACAAAGAGGTGCAGATCCATCCAGAATTTCTATGTGGCAAGTGATACTAGAGAGTGCAGTGCGCTGGGTAGCTTGTGTGGGATAGGGATAGGCAAATGCACACAGAAGGGACACTCCTCCCGCCCCAGCTGCTGAATCTTATAATCACAGCCCAGGAGCTGTTCAATGCCAGGCTTGACCCTTAACCATGCATGGCCTCCCTGGGCTCTCTCTTGTCATCCTGTCACATAGACTTCACCTGGTTTGGCTCCCTCACTGGTCTGTAGGCCCCACATAGGCTAAATGACGACCATTTTATTCACTGGGTATGTCACTGCCCAGCAGCCCTCTGGCACAGTCAAGACTTCTTACCTCTGTTCTCACACCTTCTCTTCCCTCGTGTCGAGTGTTGGTGCCCTCAAGCCCTTGGCCACTAAGATGGCCTGGCTGGGTACTTGTCCTTTACCTCACCAACAGGTCAGAGTGTGGGTCACTCACCTGATAAGCAGAGGGACCTTTCCATTACACCCATGCTCTCTACATGCCCCTTGCTATTAGCTGTTATTCAACATGAAGTATTCTGCTACTTCAAGTATTCTCTTTGTGGGGCTAGAAATTGAACCCAAGGGCCTTCAGCATGTTAACAAAGTGCTTGTTCACTGAGCTGTAGCTCAGTGCACCTACCCTTTCTAGCCTCTAAGTAATTTTTGGTTGACCATAATTACTTATTCAGTTACTCTCCCACAGCGGTCTCCCCAGTGCACTCTATGCTGAGATCTCAACTTTCATGCACATCCTCTCCCACCAAAATGAGGTGCCCCAACTCTGAGCCACTCGTTTGCTTTTCCAAGCACTGTTCCTTTTAAGTGCCCCCTCCTGTACTCTGCAGCTATTCCCTCCCCTCCCCCCCACCAGACTGTCATCACAGGCTTCCCTGCGCAGATGTTTTTGAGTCAGAATGACCAATTTAAAGCCTAAACTTTCAAACTCTGCTCAGAACTGTTTCATGGTTCATGGTGCTTCTAGACACTGTCCAGATGCCTACAAAGGCCTCATTTGCCCTTGGTCCTCTTTGCAGGTTGCTTATTGCTGTAAGACCTTCTTCATGATGTCTAACTACTCAAGAATTCCTACCTGTTCTTCCCATTTGTCCCCTCCATCCATCATGGAATGAGAGCAGAGGACATAAAGAGCCTGGAACTGTCTCTGCTAAAGGCACGGAGCACGGCTGCTGCTGACACTTCACTCAGCTCTTGTTCAGAAGTCTGATTGGCCAGGATAGTGTTTTGAGCCAACATCTTTACATTTGTTTAAAAAAAATTTACAATTCCTTATTTTTGAGGAGCTACGACTAGTGGAAGTTAGAGAAGATTTTGTAGGCGTTGGTTCTCCCCTTCCACTATGTAGGTCCCAGGCACCAAATGGAGGCGTGCATCTTTATGCATCTATTGAGCCATCTCAAGGCCACAGAAGCCAATTTACATGTGGCAGTCAACCAGCACTCAGCACCTACTCTGATGGCCTCTCTGAGCCTCTACCAAGGCCACTAGTGGAAGTGACACTCTCTTGTACACCGGGCTGAGGATGACTATGAAGAAGCCTTAAGATTTCTAGGTGGGAAGACTTCCTCCTCTTGCCTTTTATGGTACATTTAAACTCAGAGAATCCTGGGGAGCTGGGTCAGCAGGTAAAGGGGCTGCCTCTGTAATCGAGAAGACTATCCTTTAGGCTTTCCTGCAGTCCCAGTGCTCAGGAGCTGCAGGAGGGACCCATGGAGCAAGCTATCTAGGTGGACTACCTGAGTCTTGGTACACAAGGTGGACCATGACTGAAGATACCTGATATCAACCTCTGACTGCTACAAGTAGTAACATACGTGTACACCTCCTCACTCTCATGTCCATGTACATGTGACCATATATAGACACATAAGCACACTACACATATACCCCCAAAACTCTTAAAGAACTACCCCCTGACAAGTCCCCAAAAACACCAAACAGGAAGGAAAAGCTAAAACCACGAGCAGGGCTGGCTCTGCCTCTGGGACTCAGTGACACATATGGAGGAGCAGCCCTCAGGACAGAGCAGCTTTACCAGGAAGCAACCAGACTTTAAGCCTGATCCTAGAGGCACACGTGACAGGCTCAGAGTGCAGCTCTGTGATGAGAGCGGCAGTCTGCTCAATGCACAGCATGGCACATATTTACAGCAGGGACATCAGCTCTGGCACAGCATCCATAAGCTCAGGAAGCACTAGACCCACCAGAAAGCGTAACTGCAGGAAACTGCTGTCACGTGAGGAGAGCTCCTGCAAATGGGCACACAGTGACCTCAATCACTGCTCAAGTTCTGCACTACTGCCTCAAGCACAGCGTTCTAAGTGCTACTACACAGACAAGGCTGGTTCGGGGGCTGACTGTCTAAGGAAGAGCAGGAGGCCAGGAAGTCAATCTGCAGGGCAAGTTCTCTCAAAGCTTCTTCTAGTTCCTCGCTTGTATCTGACTTCAGAAAACAGCTATGCTGTGAACTACACAGTATTTCCTTGAACACACGAGTGCTGTCATTTGGTGAGTACAGTTCTCAAGAATCAGGCTTACTTTGTGCTTGGAGCACAGCACTTTGCATCAACATTCCAGTTAGAAGCCTAGGGCTCCTGCTGCTTCTCCAAAGTCCACCTGCATCCTACCTGTGTCACCCATGCTTTACCACAGGCTTCTGTTCTCATAGCTACGTAAGCTCCCCGCGGGTCCAGCTGGGTTATCCCAGCATCATCATCTCTACTTTTACAGAGCACAAACTCCAAATATAAGTCTTAGTCTGACTTTGCATTTTGACTTGCAACTAAAATAAAAACACCACTTATATAATGACTCTTATGCTTTACAGACATTGTTCCATTTTCAGGGTGGAACCTTAAAACTACCAAACAGCTTTGCTGCAAATTCATCAGATTCTCCGGGACCGATAGCCTATCTCATCAAGTGCCGAGGCAATTTAAGGAAAGCTAGGGCTGAGAACCACTTGTTTTATCTAGTAATGAAGACGTTTTGCAAAAGAACACAAAATAATATGAGGGCTCCCAGGCTTCCCTGAAGAGGGCTATGCTGCTTTCCTCATCAGTACTGGGCACGGCATGCGAAGGCTGGATGGATTGTGGTATGGGGCAGACCCAGACTACATGCATGTCCAGGGCAGGACAATGAGCTTGCCTGTACTTGACTGGGTGGTGACTGTGATCAAGTAAAGCTTCATCAACTGGGCAAAGGTCAAGGAAATGCACAGAACCACTAACAAGTGATTTAGGCAGACAGGAAAGACTATAGCCACATGGCAGAAAGGCTTCAGAGTTGCTCCTATAAAAGAACGTCAATTGCCCAGTGGTTCCATAACTGACAAGGAACCCAGAAAAGCAGAGTACAACACAGTAAAACTTAAGTTCAAAACAAAATTAAACTTAGCCTGTCATTAGAAGCATGATGAAAAGGACCACGTGTGGCTGGAGCCCTGGCAGCACTGAGCATACCATCCAGCACTTCTTTTCCCTGGAAAACTACAAGAATTTGCTTTGTTTCTTCCCTATACTAGTCATTTGCTATGAGACTATCAGTCCAAGAATTCACACAGACACGGAGTACACACCAATGGTATGACCAGAGGGCCCACAGCATACCTGGGCCGAGCAGTGGTGACCGATTCAGCTGAGTGCCAGCCTGGTGTGAAGGCGGCGTCTCGGCCCGGTGTGTGGTGCTGCTCGAGGTGGGGGTCGTGGGGGTGGCAGGGGCTGTGGTACTGCTCTGGATGACTGGATTGTTTCTGTCCCACATGTTTACAGTTTTATTGTTGTAGGTGCTTGGGTCCCCCCAAGCTGAGGTACCATCATCAATTTCCATTTTGCGTCGGATGGAGGGTGGGGAAGGCTCCTCCCAGCCAGTCGCCTCACTGCTGTCCTTCTGCTTGACTGGCAGTGGCCCCCCAATCCACCCTGTCCCTGTCTGCTTAACAGAAGCAGCTCCTCCCCAGTTGCTCACACTGTTGTCTTGGGGCTTGTGAGCCCAGTTCTGCTGGGGACCAGGCTTGAGAGACTCCCCCCAGTTTGTACCTGGATTCACCTTAGCATTTGTGCCACTGCCCCAGCCACTGGTCCCACATCTCGTGGCATCATTCCAACCAGACCCTGACCTATTACCATCAGCATCCCATCCAGATCCATTTTTCTTTCCATCCCCTAGATGTCCAAGGACAGATGATGAGTCTGCCCAGTCTCCTGCTCCTGTGCTCCAGGCTGGGTTTGCTCTTTGTCCATCTCCCCAGTTTTGGGATTTGGGTTTCTGAGGTTCACCCCAGGTGGGTGATTTGTCCTCTTGGTTTACAGTCCCACTCCAAGCATGGCCACTCTTGGTGGCAGCAGCATTGTTAACAGCAGTAGAGCTTATTGAGTCCCCCCAAACTCCTGGGCCACTTGGCGCTTTGTTGTTGCTGTCTCCCCAGCTTGTGTTTGCTGGCACGGCGGCAGGTGGCGAGCTGACCCACCCCGATACTGAAGAGGTATTTGTACTGTTCATGATGGACCCATCAGTCTTCCCCCCTGAGTTTGAAGGCTGAGTAGCTACACTACCCCAGGCCTCTGTCCCATTGTCATTTTTCCTTTCAGACCTAGGGGACTCTTCAAATTCCCAGGCAGTGTTTTGCTTTACAGGAGTCTGTCCCCAACCACTATTGGACAGAACTCTTGGGTCAAGATCGTTCCTTGGCAACTGGATGTGCCCTTGGTCTAGAACCCCTTTGTCTCGCCTCCGGCCCTCTCCTGCCCCTTCCCTCCCAGTGCTTCCTTCATTGTGACTGCCGGACCCATCACTGCTTCCTTCACTTGCTGTAGTTCCAGAAGATGTGGCTTTGGCCCATGAGTTCATGTGTTCACTGCCAGGCTGCAGGGCAGGGGTCTGGCTGGCAGCACTGGCACTGTCCCACCCTGTTGATCCTTTCCCACTGATGTCACTACTGGAATGCTGGTTTGGGGGCTTCCCCCACTCCCCATTCATACCATTAGAAGAACTTCGGCTGGGGTGGCCCCAAGCTCCTGAATGGATATTACCAATGCCATTGTTGCCACTGCCCCTGCCCCAGGCAAGGATGCCAGGCCCTGCAGGAGGCCCTGAGTCCCAGGCGGTCCCTCCATTCCCTTCCTTCTGCACAGCACTGTTGGATCCATTCTGCTTAGCACTTAATGCTGAGTTCACAGTGTCTCCATTCCCCTGACTGAACCCACAACTGGTACTTCCTGTGGCAGGGTTACCAGGGGACAGTCCCCACACAGAACTGCCCGTTCCTTCCCCACCGCCCCCACCGCCTTGAGAGACTGACGATCCGTTAGCACCAGGCAGGCCTGGCAGGTGGGGTGGGATGATGGCCCCCATACCAACAGCCATGCCCCAGTTTGGCAGTCCATTTGTCTGCATTGCATTGATAGGGTTTGGTGAAGAGTTCATGGGGTTAGTGTTATTTGGTCCATCAGTGTTAAGGTTCTGAGGTTGTACGCTGAAAGACACATTCTGAGAAGTGGATGTCTGTGGTTCTGTGCTCTCTTGGGGCAGCAAGTTTCCCCAGGCACCCAGGGTGCCCACTGGGTTCCCATTCTGGCTGCCCATATTCTGACCTATGGCACTGACTGGACTGCAAATACTGGAAGGGTTGCCTGTTGCCACAGTTCCTTCATGCCCAAGTACAGGCCAGGCAGCTGGGTTGGCATTAGGATTAAGGTTGAGGTTAATGCCCGCATTGGAGTTGGAAGCACCCCAACAATTTTGACTTCTCCCATCTCCAATCATGTTGTCCATTTTCCCATCTCCACCACCAACTGAGCAGTGAGCCAGGCCAGAGCTGGAGCCTGTGGCTACACCCCACACTCTGGCCACGCCCCCGTTCCCATTGGCTCCTCCTGCCCCAAGGGCACTCTGGTTAGAAGGGCTTTGGACGAGTGCACCATTGGTGCCATGGCTGCCATTCGTCTTCTTCGGGTGGCCTGGGAAGCTGCTCTGGGTGCTCCCTGTGGCCATGCTCCTGTTCTCTGAGCCACAGTTGGAGGCGGAGTCAGTGTCGGTAGGACATTCTGAGGCAGAGTCAGTCTCGGTTACTGGGATGGACGGCCACACCTCCGGGTCAGTTCTGTCTATTATCACTTTATCCCAGCTGCAGTTGGCTTCACTTCTGTAAGAGGGATGCTGTCCCCAGTGGGAATTTTCATAATGATCTGCCAATCCACTGTGACCAAGATCTGGAAAAAGATGAAACAAAACTCAAAATTAGATTCTCCTCCAATTTGCCAACGAATCAACTAGGAAATAGTTTGGAGGAGAAAACTAGCTTTTTTTTTCTCAAGTTCTCAATTCTAAATGAAAAATGCAGAGCAAGCCTCAAAGGGGCTGTGGGTGTGGCTCAGCTCTGGGTGTGGCTCAGCAGTAGAGCAATTGTCTAGCACATCTAAGGTTCTGAGTTCCATTCTAGGACTACAAAACAACAACAACAAAAACAAACAAACAAAAAACCCCACACCAACCAACCAACCAACCAACCCACCAAGCCCCTTAAAACCCCCGAAGTTTCCTTGATGTTACATGACGACTGGACTGAGTGTGCAGAAGACAGCCACCAACGTTCAAACCTACCTTGGTGAAATTCTTAGGGATCTAATGGTGTGGGGCATGCACACCATTTCTTCTAAAGTGAAGGATGAGTTACTGCACTTATCCCCTTCCACCACCAATAAGGAAGCACAACATTTACTGGGCCTGTTTAGATTCTGGTGATAGCACATTTGCTCACTTGGGTGTGTTACTAAGGTCTGTAGACCAAGTGACCTAGAAAGCTGCTAGCTCTGTGTGGGGTCAAGAACAGGAGAAGACTTCTCAACAGGTCTAGGCTGTTCTGCAGGCTGTTCTAACACTTGGACCATAGGACCCAGCAGACCTGATGGTACCTGAGGTCTCAGTGGTAGACAGGGATGTTGTTTGGGCCTTTAGCTGGCCTATAGGTGACTCACAGAAGAGACCTTTGAGATTTTGGAGCAAGAATCTACCCTTAGCTGCAGACAAGTATTCTCCCTTTGAAAGACAGCTCTTGGCTTGGTATTGGGTCTTAGTGGAAACTGATCATTTGACAATGGGACACCAAGTTACCGTGGAACTTGAACTGCCCATCATGAGCTGGGTGTTCTCAGACCCTCCAAGTCATGCCAGGATGTGTACAGCAGCACTCCATTATCAAGTGGATGTGGCATAGACGTGATCGGGCTCAAGCAGGTCCTGAAGCCACAAGCCCAAATGCCTACGGGTTCTATTCCTGTTATAATGTCATCTGTTGAGATATGACTGTGTGTTCAGTTGACAAGTGTGTACCTGGGAGGGATATTCCTCACTGTCAACTTGACCACATCTGGAATTAACTAAAACCCAAGTGACTGGGCACACCTGTGAGGGATATTTTTTTCTGAATTAAATCACGTGAAGTGGGAAGACACACTTTTAACTTCGATCTTTTGAGGTGGGAGGATCCACTTTTGGTTTGGGCTACATCCTGGCAGGCAGCTTCTATCATAAGGACACAGAAGCAAGCTTGCTTTCAGCCTACTCATTCTCGATAGCAAGTCTGTGCCTTCACTGGCAGTAGAGCTTACATCTTTAGGATCCCAGTGTATAGTGAAGGCCAGCTAAGACATCCAGACTCATGGACTGACTGACTACTGGAATCTCGGACCTTCCATTTGTAGACAGCCACTGTTGGGTTAGCTTCTGACAAACCCCACACCACATCATTTTCACTCTGTAAGTTCTGTTCCTCTGGATAACCCTAATATACTCTGATTTTAAAATTTTTATCTTTTTATGTATATTTGGTATTAGGCCTACATGTATACCTGTGTGAAGGTGTCAGATCCTCTGGAACTGAAGTTACAGACAGTTGTAAGCTGCCATGTGGGTGCTAGGAATTGAACCTGAGTTCTCTGGAGGAGCAGTCAGTGCTCTTAACCTCTGAGCCGTCTCTCCAGCCCCCTCTCTCCTAATTTTGATGGAGCTCAGAGAAAGTCAAGGCCACTTGAAGAACTATCACAGTCATCAGAAGGAGCATACTGTGGTCAATATCAAGCTTTGAAAACAGAGAGCTTTGTTGCCTGACTTTTGTAAAAGTAACATAGCTGGGGAAACACAGGCCACACAACTCTCGATTCAAAGGTTGATACTGACCACAGTATGCTCCTTAGCTTAGTGAGTTTCACAAATAAACCTGAGAGAAGAGAAGGTGAGGGAAGTGGGGTGACTAGCTCAAATCTGGGACTATTAAGTAGTGAGAAACCAAAACACATGCTTCAGAACAAGACTCTCCTACTAGTTACCACATATCAATACAACTCCCCTAAATAAGGAAAGAGAAATGAGGTTCAAGTGTAATGCTAAATAAAATCTTTTCTCCTGTTTAAATGGCTTATATGTTTTATAAATAGGAGTCTATAAAAATCTAAGCAACATAACTGTCTTAAGTGATTAAATCAAAAAGGATTAAATCACAGCAGGAAGGGAAAAGCTTTCCTCTTGATTTTTAATACCCACATGTTACCCTAGGAGGATGAAATCTTCTAGGCAGAGTAGTTAACACTGACCTCCCAAAAGCTATATAGTAAGCCAAGTCCTAATTAGGCATTGACTTGGTCAGATAGGAAAGTTAGGACGGTGTGTTGAATGCTTTTATTAGCACAAACAGCAAAGGTGTTTGCACCACAGGTCTTTAACTGAATGACAAAGTAATAAACCACAAACTGGAGAAAGGAGTCCCTAGTGGTTTCAATAGCTGACTATGTGTGTTCCTTAATATTTACTGAGAGCACAGATTCCTTGTCCCTGGTTTTTGGGGACAGGGTAAATAGCATTAGCTGTCTTTAGCTCTTGAGACCCTTCCTCTCTACCACATGTACAATTTTACTTCATATAAAAATCTAAGGGAGAAAGTACTTTGTGCTCTAAGTATCACTGATGGAGGGGCAGAATCTCTCCCATCTCACCTGTCAGCTGCTATAAGCCCAGGCAACCAGCAATGTGGAACACAGAAAAAATTTGCTGTAACCAATAATGTGTCTAAAAGAATAATCTGTAGTGTTTCTATACAAGAGACAATGTCTCAAGGTTGAGACTATGAGAGACAATGAAGAAATGATGTAGGAGGGCGTGAGCCTGCCTGGAGCCACGGGCAGCAGGGTAGGCAATGCATGGACATGGCTTTGCTTAGTGCAGCACTGCAGCCAAGAGCTGCCACACACGCACTGGCTGGGGAGAAGCAGCCCTTCCACCCAGGCTCAGGGTCTGTTTCTCTCCTGTTTTAGCGATGAGGAAATACCTGCAGATGGTACAGTCCACCTCCCAGGAGCTGCAGCCCCTTGGAGAATGTGGCCAGTGGCATCCTGGGTCTGACTGTAACATGTGAGTCAACTCTGGCGCAGCTGCCAGTTTACTCCCAGCCAGCCTGGAGCAGACCCGGGACACCATGGGCAGTGCCCACCCATCCCATTCCAGCAGGAGGAGAAGCAGCCATGGGCAGGGCCTTTAAGCTTTTATGATCTAGTCATAGCTGATACTAAATTCTCTCAATTCTCAAAAACATTTTATTTTAGGACCCAGTAACAATTCATACCAGTAACAATTCACCTCTCTCCCATTCCTTTCAATTTTTTTGAAAGCTAGCCAAAATAATAATGGCATGTTGCCTATTGGCTGAATGCAAAAAACTGGTGTTTCTCCTTTATTTTATACTCCTCCTTGTCTTCCTCTACACAAGCCCTCAACACCTGCAGAGCAGCAATGTAGTAGTCTATGTAAGGTCCATACGTAAACTGGCAAGAGTCCAACAACAACTTCTTCTTCTTCATCGTCTTCTTCTTTTTTTTTTTCCTCAAGACAGGGTTTCTCTGTGTAGCCCTGGCTGTCCTGGAACTCACTCTGTAGACCAGGCTGGCCTCGAACTCAGAAATCCACCTGCCTCTGCCTCCCAACTGCTGGGATTAAAGGCACGAGCCACCACCACCACCCGGCAAGAGTCCAACTTCTTAATTATTTTCCTGCCTCAATCAAAAAAGGGTATAAGAAGCACATACTAGTCAGAGCTTCTTTTATAAATGTATAAAGCAGATATGAATAAAATACATTTAGGCAGAAGGAAAAAATGTTTAAAAAATATTTTTAAGGAAAAAAGTTCTAGTTGGGCGATGCTGGTGCACACCTTTAATCCCAGCACTTGGGAGGCAGAGGCAGGTGGTTCTCTGTGAGGCCAGCCTGGTCTACAGAGTGAGTTCTAGGACAGCCAGGGCTACACAGAGAAACCCTGTTAGAAAGAGAAGAAAGGAAAAAAAGAGAAGAGAAATGAAGAGAAAGAAAAAAATGAAGAAAATGAAGAGAAGAGAAAAGAAAGAAAAGAAAAGGAAGGAAGGGAAAAAAAAAAGAGAAGTCAAGAGCTAAAAGCTGCAGTTTCCCTGAACCCTTGCAAAGCCAGGAAAGCCAGGGTCTGTAGAGAAGACGACAAAGAATGCTTCTTCAGAAATGAGCACTGTGTGAACTCCTCTGTGTACACACAGATGTATCCCTGTGATCAGGGCAGGGTAGGTTTTCCTCCAATTGGTTAAACAAGCTCTTCTCCAAGTCAACTTCCTGTTGGGCTCCTCTGTGACAAAGCCATGGTCTCACTCACCACCAGCAGCCTGTACAATGAGCATCTGGACTGTGGCTGGGAAGACCTTTTCACCTCTGCCTACCTAGGAAGGAGCAGAGGCCTTCACATCGCCCACCCTATCCAGGTAAGTGCTTGTGGCCCATGTCTTCTGTTTAGGAAGCCTACCTTTTCTAAACCTATGGCCCTGGCTAAGGCTGCCAGAAGATCTCCCCTCAGTTTTTTTCCTGGGCCTTTCTAGGCTCCTGTCACTTGTCATTGGGTAAATTTATTTGAGAGCCCAGTTTCTCATGAAGGAAGTTACCCACAAAGTTATATATAAACTACAGGCATAGAATTAACTACTATAAGCTTGATGCTTGAAAATAGAACTTTCAGAGCTGAAGAGATGGGTCAGTGGTTAAGAGCACTGACTGCTCTTCCAGAGATCCTAAGTTCAATTCCCAGCAACCACATGGTGGCTCACAACCATCTGTAATGAGGTCTGATGCCCTCTTCTGGTGTGCTGAAGAGAGCAACTGTGTACTCATATACATAAAAGAAAATAGAGTTTTCAATTGGTAGATCATTATAAAAGTCTGTTTCTGCTTTAAACCGGACTACATTTCATTGCTGTCTCATGTTACTGAACATTACGAATCTCTAGGGATGATGATAATAATTATTACTTTTGAGACGGGGCTCTACTAAGCCCTGACTGAAGCCTGTTATATAAAACAGGCTGGTCTTGAACTCACAGAGATCCACCTGCCTCTAACTCTAACACGGTGCTGAGACTAACAGCATGCACTGGCATTCCTGGCCAGAACTTACTTTTGCACACAAGCATCAGAAATCTTGGTCATCCTACAACACGGGCTATGTTGACATCAGTAAGTTTCATGTGACAACATACTGTCTATACTGAATCAACACAGAGGGATAGGACAGAACCTGGGGTCTGTTCTCCAGAGACCCGTGGCCTAGCAGACATATAGCTGGTTCTCAGTCATGGGCTTCCCTGGCCTGGGCATGTGGTCAATGGAAGAGTTCACGTAGTACACACAAGGTCAGGGGTTCTATTCCCAACACTGAAAATGAAAACAGCAAAGCAAGCAAATAAAAACAACAGAGATGCACAGCCAGGCTGTTCTGACCATCATGGAACACATGACAGAGGTCATGACTGCTTCCAAGAGGCCATGATCAAGTCCCTCTGCCTCTGATGCACATCTGCTTGCCTGTCAGTTCTAGTGCTGTGGAAGAAAGGGCATCCACTGAGCAGGAGCCTACAGGAAGTGAACATTCCCCACTCGTCGCAGCTAGCTGCAGGTATTTACTGAGAGTCTGCATCTATTCACACACTCTGCTCCGCACCACAGGCTCACCAGTTGCTTGTGGTGGTTTCTGAATCTGGAGAGGACTGAAGAATTAGTACTTAGCATTTAGATCTGTAAATGGTAAAAGAGCACCCAATAAATAATATGACTTGTTGGCTTAACAGGGAACAAGATGTTAGAGCTTTGATAAGAAGTGGGACGGCAGAAGGAAAAGAAAAGGAATTAAGTTTTGATGCAAGCAGAAAACTTATGATTCCTGTGGAATACACTGAAATGTACTAGCAGAATTGGACCTAGGTTTGGTTTTCGTAAAGCATTTGTAACATGAAAAGGAGAAGCTCCTTCATAGTCAACTCTAGGAGGACAGCAGAAAGCCTAAGTCACAGTACATTGCATACAAGTCACAGGTAGAACACATGACTGCATGGCCCCAGCCGCTGCAGGACCGCTACACAGGTGCCTTTTCCTTTTGCCAAACGCCTCTTACAGGCAAGGTGATGCAACGTGAAAAGGAAAACCCTTTTTTACCTGATAGGAGTCCCAAGTGCCAGGACTGTGAGTGACTTGGCTCAGGTCACATGGAAGGATAATCTAGCCTGCTTCTGTCACAGCTGCTCACTTAGACGTCTGTGGTTTTCTACAACACTGTGTCATTCCAGCAGTGGCCACAATGGACAACTCAACCTCTGTGGAATAGTATTTGAGTGGGAAAGGAAAGGGAACGAGTTCTGGAGAGCAGTCAGTCCTCTCCTTTAGATGAGTGTAGAACCAGTAGACGTCCACTCCACCAGGTCAGTCATCCACTGCAAGCTCTCCCACTCCTCAGACTCTCACCTCAGCTGAGAGCTGAGACTCTAACAGACTCAGCAAACCGACACATTGCAGCTCCAAGAGGAGTGATGGGGACAGGCACAGGAATCTCTGAATAGAGGCAGTGGAGGGCAGTCCTCCACATGGACCTCTAGGGAAAACTAAGCACTGTCACCACTGAGGCCACGCAGACAACACATGTTGACAAGACATAGCTATGGTGGCAGGAAAACTAAGTTTGTACATTAGGGATATGGCGAGTGTCTGAGGGGGCTGCTGGGTCAGTGAGGTGAGAGGAACATCCAGCTGGCAGCACTGCCAGACACTGGTGGGAGAAGAGAGACAGTGTAAAATGAAGCTGTCTGGGAGTCGAGAGCCAATTTCCCGTTTATACTCATTATATAGACTGATTTAATTTTCAGACTTTTTTTTAATCCATCAAGAGTTACACTCTACACAATGTGTGTGTTCTATAGTGGTCATGCAACTATATAGATATGCGTCCTGCCCAGTCTTGTGTGAATACCCCCCCCCCCACAAAGTCCCACTATGGTGCACAGGCTAGCCCCAAACTCTAGGTAGGACACAGAAGATCCTCTCACCCTGGCCTGAGTAGTGGAGACCATAGGCACATGGAAACAAAGCCACAGGATTGAGGGAGCAGTGCAATAGCCAAGCACCTGTCTAGCAGTTACAAGGCCCTGGTCCTACCCCTAATATCAAACAAGTCCCACTCGTCATGGTTCTTACCTGGCTGGAGTTTGCTAGGATGCTGTTGTGCCCCAGCTCCAGGGAGTGGAGGAGGGCTGGCCCCTGCAGGCCCAGCAGCCTGTGCTGGGCTCACACTAGTCAGACTCCCTGTGGGTAATGGCTGGCCTCTCTTTAACAGCTGCTTCTGTTCTTGCTGGCGAAAGCGTGGAGGCACCTCCCGAGGCAGGTAGCGGGATGCAGCTGGCTGCTGGCCACAGGTAGATGCACGTTTGCCATTGCTGCCGCTAGAAATAGTGCTGGTGGAAGTACTGGGACTGGTACCGGCAGGTTGGGGCTGGCTTGAACAGGTCTTAGTAAGTTCTGGCACTGAAAAGACCCAAAAGGAGAAAATGACCCAAAGCTTCAATAAAACCTTAAAATTCAAATAAAACATACACAGTACCCGAGGAGGTACTGCTTGTTTAATTCATATGTCCTTCGACCTCCTGAGTGAGTGTAGGCATGACCTACTATGACTTCTAGAGAAACAACAGTCCTCTGCACTTTGGGTCATGGCGACGACATGAGAGCATCTCTGGAGACCTTACCTGCAACACTGCTGTGCTTCACAGACGTGTGGACAAGGATGCAGGCAGCCTGCTCTACAAACACGTGTATCAAGTGTGTCAGTGTACAGATCTTCTGATCTGACCCTTAATACTAAGACCTACCTTCATCCTGAGTGTGTGCCATTATCCACGATAGAGAGGGAAAGTTTCTACCTAGTTAATTTGTAAATGTCTTTCCTTTTATGGCTGAATAAAAGCTTTATACAAATGAGTTAAGAAATAATTCCAGGTATTTTATTTTACATGTTGTAGTGTTTTGCCTGCATGTGCATAGCTGGTACCCACAGGGGCCAGAGAGAATCAGATCCTCTGGAACTAGAGTTACAGATGGTTGTATGCTGCTATGCGGGTGTTGAGAATGGAACCTGGGTCCTTTGGAAGAACAGGGAATGGAACCTAGGTCCATGACTGCTGGGATATCTCTCCAGCCATTGCAGGTATCTCTCTTAGGTACAAGTAAACCCTCTGAGTTACAACTATTATAAGACAACACTAAGGTCTATAAGCTATTTCTACTTTCCTTTTATTAGCAGATCCAATTAGCCCAGTGTTGGTCTTCTAGCATGGACTCTATTGTGTACTAGGTAACCATTACATTGTCCATACTCTCAGGGCCTTTCTGTCTTTCTATCATCTGTGCCTATCAAGAAAGCCACTGGATCCCCTCTCTACAGTGACTCTGACTAAGATTCTCAGGGTGCCCTTTCTAGAGCAAGGTCCTGACAATCCATCCAAAGGCCTTTCACTTCCAAGCCTCTACTGTGTTACCACCCTACCTTAGCCTCTCATTCCCAGAAGATAAATTTGACTTTACTCTGCAGAAAAGATAAAAGCAATTAGGCAAAACCTTCCCAAGTTTCTGCCACCACAGAAATGCAATCAACACACTCTTTCCTGTGCTACATATCCGTTAACGCTCATCTAAGAGTAAGACTGTAGTCTCATAGTGTGACACATTTCCCAAATGCTAACATCACATAAAGTCACTGTTTTTGTCTGTGTGTTTTACTGTCTTCTTTCCTAGTGGCATATGTATACCTGGCAGGTCTCAGGGAAAAAAGAAAGATGGATGGTGTCTTCTTGGGCTGTGATTTTCCACCCATAACTCTCCAGAGCAGAGATGAAGACCTAAAGATTGGGTCTTAGATTAACTTGTTTTATAGATGTTTACATCTTTTCTTGCTTCAATATGGCAGATAACATTCTTTTAAGAGAAAAGATGAGATAATTACTTATGTTGCCATGGAGGGTGGAGAAATGTACCCTTCTTCGACAGCCTTGGATAACCACCCGGCCCCTGTTCTGCCAGCCTCTTTCTGTGTACGATGCCTCTTCCTGCTCCTCATTTCCCATTCCTCCCTGCCCTCCTCTTCTGTGTGTGGTGTTTCTGTTCACCTATAAAGGCACACTGTGCAAGGCGATAATGACCTCCTAGTACTTAAAGCCAATGCCACGATCCGACCCTCTGCTCTTACTTCTAGTCTTCAGGCCCAAAGACTTCTGTCCTGTGGTCACCACTGATGGTCACTCTTGCCTTCATATTGCCCAACCCACAAAGATGACTAAGACAGTGACAACACAGCTACTGATCAGTACCAGGAGCCAGTCCAGGTCTCTTCTACTTTACCACTAGTATTTTTACAAAAGACTGAAAGAGACAGGAAGACAGCTCATCACGTAAAGGTACTTGCCACATAAACCTGCAGACCGGAGTTCAATCTCTGGAGCCCAATGTAAAGGTGGAAGGAAAGAACCGAGCCCATAACACTGTTCTCTGACCTCCACATGTGGCTGTGGAATGCACGCCCTCCTGCCCTATGCACTATCACCTACCTAACTAGACAAAAGGACAAGTTCAGGGCTATTGTTTGTTGTTGTTGTTGCTAAACCCATCACAGAAAAAAAAATGCACATTAAGTAAGCAAATGCTGTAAGTCAGTCCATCTAAGCCAACGTCTAAGACATGAATACAGAATATTCAGTTCCTTGTTCCATGGAGCTTGTGTGGCACATTAGGGGAGTCTGATATCCATGAAACCTCCCTTTCCCCTTGATAACTGCTACCAGGAGAGAAGAAAGACTGGCAGAGACTCAGAGGAATGCTTCTCACGATATTAAAGGATAGGAGGGAGAAAGCAAAGAATGCCTGACAGAGACCAGTTCCGGGCTCCTAACTCTACAACAGTTCCCATCCAGCCCTTTACAGGAAAAGCTTGCTGTTCACTGGCACAGGAACAGACACTACTTGTATTCTTAGACTACTGGACACACAGGTACCCGAGGAAGCCTGCAGCCGCCGTCCTCATGTCTCCTGCACGTATTATCTATCTCAAAGCATGCAGATGACTGTGAACAAACATGAATGCCATCCCTACCATGTTCTCTGCTGTGAAGACCTTGTTCATCATCACAGAATGAAAAGGGGAGGTGATACTTTTAACAGAGGAAGGCACAGGAAATACCGTGTTCAGAGCTTCACCGCCTCCTCTTCATCCCAGTAGAGAGCTCCAAGCACAAGAGAGCCGCACGAGGCAGGTGGGTCAGGAGCAGCTGCCTGTCTCTTACTGCTCTGTGGGTCTTCCACACCAACCAACTCCAAACTTTCATTCTCAGTCATGCTCTGGACTATTCAAGAGTGGGCACCTACACTCACACAGCCTCATCTCTGAAGCAAACACAACCCCAGTGCTGCCTCCAGCCCCGAGCCCAGGCTTTATCTCCAGCTGTCAGCTGGGTAGGGCCACTTGGAAGTCATTTCCCTTCCAAATGAAGATATCCAAGAGTGGAGCAACAAGTCCCTGGGGACGAGCCAAGTGTCCCTTTCTGTAGGACAGCAATGAAGCACAGCCCAGACTTCTTACCCAACTGAATCAACAACTGGGAAAATAAAAATTGTGACCACGTGAAGTTACCAAGGTGTGCTGTGAGTTTAAGACAGAGACAGTCCCCCTGACCAGACACGGTGGCACGACTCTGTCATCTCACCACCTGGACAGTGAAGGCAGAATGAGTGATAAGGAGTTCAAAGTAATCTCAGCTACACAGCAAGTTTAAGGCTAGCCCAAACTACATGAGATCACATCTCAAACAAAACTTGAAGCCCAGGCTGGCTTCATACACTTGGGCTCAAGTGATCCTCTGCTTCAGCCACCTGTATAGCTATAGCCATATGCCATTACTGTGAGCTAAATGGAATTTCTTCTCTACTCTATCTCTCCTTCCCTCCTCCTCCAGCCTTGTCTTTTCTCTCCTCTTGTTCTCTCCCTCCTGAGAATCACATCTGGGGCCTCACACATACTAAACATACACACTCTATCACTGAGGCACATGCTTAGCCCTTTTCATTATGTTTCTGTTGGGACGGTACTTTTCTAGAAAATATACTACATTTAAGAATTTGTTTTCTTGGGGCTGAAGAGATGGCTCAGCAGTTAAGAGCACTGGCTATTCTTCCAGAGGACCTTGGTTCAATTCCCAGCAACCACATGGTCGCTCACAACTGCCTGTAACTCAGGTTCTAGGGGATCTGACACCCTCACACAGACATACATGCAGTCAAAACACCAATGTGTATAAACACCAATGTGTGTGTGTGTATTGGGGGGGGAGAGAGAGGGAGGGAGAGGGAGAAGGAGAGGGAGAGGGAGAGAGAAAGGGTTACTTAAAGTTTGAAACTGAACCAGAGTTAAGAGCCTAGCAGTTGAGAGAGGTCACAGGCTGCTTCAGGTGGCAGGTTTCGCTCTGTACCTCACGCTGATGCAGAGTATGTTGTCTCTCAAATGGAGAAACACACTTTACTATATATCACAAAGAGCCTGGGCGTCCTGGAGAGTAATATGAACATGCTCAGTTTTTGATCTACATGTTTCTTTTCACAGACTGTTTCCAGCTGCTAGAAGTGCTAATGCCTTGGGCTGGTCCTTTGGGACTCAAAGAAAGAAGAGCTGGCTGGACGAGTAAAGCAGTGAGGTAGCCAGCCAACAATGCTGTACAGGGGAGCTGCTCTGCCGGGCTTCTGCACATAAGGTGCTGAGAAAGCTTCCAATTTAAGCCAGTCTTTTTTGGCTTTCTGCTTTTTTCAGATCTAAATTTCTGATTCTGTTCCTGCCATAAGACATAGGGTATTGAGACCACCCTGCCATCCTCTTTTTCACATAAATGCATCTAGGGCACATTACAAAAGAAGCAGCTTTCAGCAAGCTAAAATTCTTGGTTTCACCGCCTAATATGCATTTCACATTTTCTTAAGTGAAGATGACACCTGCTGGCACAAGATAGGTATGTTATTTAAGAAAGAGAATCTCTGAAAACTATATTCTAAGAAGTCATTTCTGTTTTCTGTTAAGGACTTCGGCAGCATGGTCCCAACTAGCCCAGCAGCACCAAGTCCTCCACAGACCGGGCTCCAGAAGATCAGATGTCAGCTGGGACACCTTTTCGACCTTTCGGTCTCAGCATCTCTAAAGAGCCACAAAACAAGAACTGTGCCTCAGGGCTGGGCCATTCAGCTCTGGTTCTACCCTCGCTGGGCAGAGGCTCTTCCAGCCAGCCACAGCCATGACCATGCTCTTAGGCTCCTGGCCTTCTCTCTGCCATGCTGTTGGACCTCTGTGTTTTGAGTCTGACTTTCAGCCTTGCTTCCAGTTTCCTGGCATTGCTCTGGCCTCAGAGACAGGATGACACCTGCTGCCTACCTGTTCCTTCCTATGCTGTGTTACTACAGAGTTCTCAATGTAGTGTGCATGGTCAAACTACTGT